GCAATATGAGCTGGGCATTACTGAAAGTTTCTTAATGTGGTATTTTAATCAATTAATCTCATTTTGCTATTTATACCAGTTTTCCCAATAATGACAGGTTCACATATTCCAAGTCATTATATTATGAAGTACTTCTTTAAAATGGTTAGAAAAACCTTTTAGTAGGACTACAGAGCACTTGAATACCACCTACCTTGGTCATATCATGCGGGTCAGGTACGACAAACATTCCAGGAGGTGGTTCCTTATAAATTGACATGATATCCCTAGGAAAGAAATATAAATATATTTCTGTATTTTGTAACCCATTAAGTTTTGTCTTAAATTACTGACAAATACTCTTACTAAAAATATATGTCCAAAATCTGCCCTAAATAGTGCTCAAAATAAGTATCTTTTACCTAAATTTAAGACTCATAATTCTGCTTATTGCAATTTATTAGTCTTATATCATCACATAAGTGTAAAACACAATGAGAGAAAAAGAGATCTCCCACAAGAAGGGGGGATATAACATGAAACAACTTATCATAGCCCATGCTTTTTCATAAGGAACTGTTTCTTCATCCCTCAATCTGTCAGCATACATTTATCAACAAAAGTGTCTATGTTGACAAGCTGTTTTGAAAGTTGCTACCCACCAACTTACTTCTTACTACTTTCTTTTCACTAAAGTATGAAATAAATTGAAAGTGGGACATAGTGGTCTTACATTCCCCAAATGTACAAAATATATATCAATAGTACTTTAAAAGAATAGTTTTGCTTGAAAATAACAGCGAAATCCCTGGAGGCATTCAGTCAAACTTCTGAGAAATACTCCTGCAAGTTGAGTTTCATTTTGATGCTCTATATAATTCCAATAATATAACTTTTGTTACTGTGGTTACATAAAACTGTTAACTATTTCTTAAGTATTTGTATGCCTAAATATGGAAATAACCTCAAACTGTCCTTTATAGTTGGTCTTCACTTTTTTGTTTTAAAAGAAAGGTGTACTTTAATTAAACCAGGTGCCTAGTAAACTTTGCTTAGCAGCTGTTGGAAATGAAGCACCTGCAAGAAAACAACCAACCTCAGAGAGCACCAAGGACCACCACCCCCCCACCGCAGCTGTTCTCATGCTCAGAATCTCCACTGCAAGTTTCATCTAATTGCCCAGGCAAAGATTCAACTTGTGGCCTTGTTTGTACTAAAGAATATGTTACCTATTACTTGGGCATATAACAGAAGGGACTTCCGTTCTACTGCATTTTTTGGCATGATTTAATGAGATTAATTAAAAGAAGAGGCTATATAGGCTCAAAAAATCTTTGTTCACCTGCACCCTTTAGTTACCACTGGATACATATGTTGAATATCTTTTAAACAGATAAATGTTTTCTATTAACCCTAGAGACGATAAGAATAAACATGTACAATAAAATACCAGTACACAAAAGCAAACTGGAGGAATGAATGCAGATCTATTTCTACTACTAATTCAACATACGTCCTTGGGCAATAACCTCCACAACAAAATAATGTTGATTGCTTGCCTTTAAAAGCTGTTGATGCAAGACAAAATGCATACAGAAAAGACTACAAAATAATATGCAATCAAATAAAGATATAGCTTAGAATTACTGCTTAGAATTCTCCTTCCTTGGACAGCTATAAATATACAGAACATATTCTTTGAGTATACTCATTAGTAGAAATTTAACTGAAGTTGTAAATATGTTAAATACCAATTGCTTTCTGATGCAAAATAACAAAGTCAGTTTTACAATGAAAGCAATTTTCATTCAGTGTCTTCATTAAGGTTTAAATAATGACACTGGATTTTTGTGTTCAGGGACTCTGGGAATTGCCGGGTGACTGGAAAGCATAAGGCTTTGGTAATCACAAGCTTATCCATTTGTATTTAATACGTTTAGAGATATGTTGTTTTACAATAAAATGCAGGATTGAAAGAGATGAAGCTGTCCCAACGCTTCAATCTATCACCAGCAGGAATATAAAATATTTCGAAAGGACTGAACTGCTGAAGCATTAACCCCAAATGCGGGGCACTTGGGTGGGGAACGGAACTAAGCACTCTGCACATGCTCAGAAACACCGCCCTTTCTTAACAATTCACGTTTAGCCAGATATTGGCTACATTCTTTAATGGAAAAACGGGATTGCTAACTCCAACTTCCTAGTTTCGTTTTACGGAGTTCCTTACCGTTTGATACGGAGCAGGCAGGCAGCGCTCGGTCTCTCTCCGTCCCAATCCCCACTAGTCGTGGGGTCCCAAAAGGCCGAATGCGAAAGGAGCACTCCGGCGGCGGCGGCAGCGGCGGCAGCAGCAGGGGGAATCCCAGGCACTGGGGCTCCTGCAGAACCGACTCCAGAACCCGTTCCAGACCCTCCTCCTCCTCCTGCCGAACCCAACCCCGCTACCGCCCAGAGCTCTGCTGGTAGGAAGACGCCCGTGCCTCCGCCACCAGCTCCGGCACCCGGTCCTCCGCCTGTCGGGGCCGCCAGTACCGCGGCCGAAGCTACTACCTCTTCAGCAGCCGGACTCTCCGCCATCATCGCCAACAGTCCCGGCTACGCTTCCGGGACTTCCCACACCATCGACAAAAGTGGGCAGAGCGGATCACGATGCTCCGCCTATTATTGACAATGGGGACATATCAACCATTGAGGAAGAGAGTTCCAGAGCGTCCCACGTTGTTAATTCGTTCAAGTCGCAGCTGATGGAACATTGATTGCATAGAAATTCTAGAGCTTTGTCCTCACTTCCGGTTCCGAATAGTTAAGTTCTATCAGGCGTGGGTGAAAAAGTTCTTACGAAAATGATCGCAAAGGGAAAAGCTTCTGCTACCTGTGGTAGCATGGCCAAAAACAAAACCCAAGCTTCCGGGATGTTTTTCTGACAGCTGTTGGGTTTTCCTCGTGGCCATTTGTCCAAGTATTAAGCAGATCTGACCCTGCTTAACTTTATTCAGAGAAGTTCGGGTACGAAAATTGGGACATTTTTTTTAAAAAAAACCCTTCTGTGTTGGCGCATCGACAAATCTCTTAATGCCTTTAAAAGGAACATAACTCGTCATCTCCTCCCAGGCAACCATCGTTTTGATTTTATGATGCTTATTTTTGTAGAACTACAACCCCCAATTGTATCTTTAAAAATTAGGTGCCAGGTAGAAATTAAACTGGGTAAAGCATTTCATTGCTGAATCTTTCACTTGATTTGCAAAGCAGCGTGATATTTTTTTTAAAGTGCACGCCATTTTAAAAAAAGATTATGAGGGGGAACCCCAAAGATGCTTTTACAGGAGGCTACAGGCTTCGGGTTTTTTTTTCCTTTGAAGACGTTTCTCTTCCCATCCAAGAAAGCCGCCTGCAAGGAATATAAATCCTTCCCGTTCCCCACCATCCTGTCAGAGGTGAAGAAGCTTCTTGGATGAGAAGCAAAACGTATTCAAAGAAGAAGAAAAAAGACAGTCCCGTTGCCTCCTGAAAAACTACTTTTGGGACAACCACGGATGACTGAAAATATCTACAGACCATTATGAGGGGAAATAAAACCATTTTGCACGACTCTGAACACACGGCACGTGCCAAAGCGGAATCTCCCACATGACCATTCTGATGTCACCTTCAATTTCCACTCTCTTGATCTGCACATGGAGGGCTCTTGCATCGGGAATCAAATTTCAAGGGGGTGGGGGGGAAACAACCCTGCATCTCTGTATCCCTTTCTGCATCTATGCTAGATTATCGACCCGGAACCTCCGAAATACCTACATTATACCTTTTTTTTTCTCGGAACGGGCATTCAAAACCTAACACAATATCTTTTCAAAGAAACTCCTTATCAATAGTTAATCCTACGAAACTCAGGTAATTTTTTCAAAAATTCCCATTTACGGGTGTAGACACCACCCTTCCGCTTCTTGCGTAGTTTGCTCAGACGCGAACAAGCATAAGCTCCGCCTTCGCGCCTTTCTGGAAGTAGATTCCGTTCCCAAGATTACCTGTGAAGTAGTCTCCGTGCCAGCTAAGGGGTATCTGCAGTACCATCGCTTTTATGCTCTTAATTTTGGCGTCCGCGAGAACTTCAAGTCCGTTTTAGAAAGGCATTATTGCTCAGAGTTAACTGGCCTCCATTGCTCATAGCAAGATACTTTTAGAAAACTCTAGGTCAGTCCCAAAATCTAATCAAAACAAGATTGCTGAAAACACAAAGGAAACAAATGTGTCACCCACATTTATTTATTTATTATGTATTTATTTATTTTTTATTTATGAAGAACTATGCAATATTCAGAATGTTCTGCAACCTTTTGTGCTTGTGTTGGGAGATCAAGCTTTTGCCCCAGAACTAAAAAGCAAAACATCAGATGGAAAAGAAAAAAATTCAATATGGCTTTAATTTTCATAAACTTTATTTACATTAAATGTATTGTTTGCAAGAAACAATCAACTTTGACCCTCTAGAAGTGGGTCAGAAATGGGTATCAGAAGATGGAGTCTGTGAATGCTGATTGGCAATTTCTCGATTTAAAGCAAAACTATATAGCAACGTTTAGTTGCAAATCTCATTACTTACTTTTGAATACCAATATTATATAGAATCCCTTTTATTATGCGTTTTGTGGAATAAAATATATTTTGTAGATGATTGAAATATCCCAAGGTTTTCATAAACAATGAGGTAAAGAAAAAATAGGATAAAAGTACAGTACATTATTTTACTAGGACATGTTTTATTTCTGTTTTAATTATTCAAGCATAGTGGAAACTTGGAACCAAATTCAAATACAGGTAGTGAGTCAATCAATAACTGAGTTTAAACATGTTTGGATAAACACATGTCCATCATCTGACAAAAATTTAAAAACTAAAAATAAATACGTAAAAGTCAGACTCAATGAACCATTAGGTCATTTTCTGTCATATGAGTTTTCTACAATTCCCTGTTTCTATATGAAGCATAAAGAATAATGAATGACAAAACTCAAAAAAAATCTTGAATTATATTTATTAAAGTTTGCTTATATCTGTAACAGCAGGCTTAAACTGAGACGACAGCAGAGGTTTTTTACATGGCAAACAGAATCAGGAATGCCACCATCAAACAGAAGAGCCCCATGGCTTCCGAAAGGGCAAAACCTAGGATAGCATAAGAAAACAATTGCTGCTTGAGGGACGGGTTCCTGTAGGTAGAAACAAAAGAAAAGCCTGACATAAATTACTATTGAATTCTCCAGAATAAAATATTACACAATTTTTTCCAAACCATCATGGACACTGATAAGTGTTAAACAGCATAGATCATAGGTACTTGACCATAATAAAGACTATATATCCATGGAAACTACTACTATTTTGCCAGCAGTGGATGACATATTTTAGCCTTTCTTCTGGTGTCTTTGTCCCTAGAGTGAATGGAAGGAGAGGTTCGGGAAGCTAGAATGAAGCTGGAATTATTTTTCTCAAAAGAAAGATCATTTAAATCAGTGGTTCTCAAACTTTTTCAGTCCACCGCCCTCTTGGTGCTACAAACTCATCCTTAGTGCCGCCACCTAGGGGTGGGATTCAATTTTTTTAAGAATTGGTTCTGTGAATGTGGCCTAATTTGTGGGTGTGGCTTGGTGGTCATGTGACTGGGTGATTGTGGCTTGCTAGCTGGGCATGGCTTGATGGTCACGTGACTGGGTGGATGTGGTTTGGTGGCCATATGACTGGGTGGGCATGGCCAAGTGGCCATGTGACTAGCAAACCAAATACAAGTGGTCTTTGCTTAATGGCCAGTTGCTTAGCAAGTGTTCTAATTTATGACTGACCTCCCCAGAGCTACTTGACCTGTTTTTGGAGTTATGACAGCCATGCGCGCGCACACACACACACACACACACACACACACACCCTTCTCACCTTGGTGGAGCAGGTGGTTGGACTAGATATCTTATTCATTTTCCCCTCGCTCCCTTTCTCTTTCTGTCCCTTCCTTCCATCGCCCCCTCTATCCCCTTTCTTCCTTTCTCTCTCCCTTTTTCTTTCCATTTTCTCTTTTTCTTTGTCTCTTCCTTCTCTTTCCCTTTCTCTTTCTCTCTCCCTCCATATCCCATTCACTTTCTCCTCCTTCCCTTTCTTTCTTTCCCTTTCTTTTTTCTCTTTCCCTCTCTTTCTTTCTGTCCCTTCCTTCCATCCCACCTTTGTCTATCCCTTTTCTTCCTTTCTCTTCTTTTCTCTCCCTTTTTCTTCCTTTAGTTTCTTGTCTGTTCCTTCTATTTCTCTCTTTCTCTTTCTTTCTTTTCTCTCTCTCTTTCTCTCTTTCCCTCTCTCTATCCCTTCCCTAACCTATCTACCTATTTTCTGACCAGGAAGGCGTGGCCTAATCTGTCAAAGGCCTGGGCTAATCCTGCATCACCCTGTTTCCCCTTTCAGAGGCCCCGGCCCTTAATCTCGCCGTTTCCTCCCCCACGACCATCTCTTTCGTTGTCCCATGGCTGTGACTTTACCTTCCTCCTGCGGCTGGCTGCCAGGGCAGGCAAGCCAGGGCAGGCAAGGCAGGGCTGAGCCATAGTTGTCGCTGGGCTCCCCGTCAGCCCACATTGCCCTTGTCACAAATGCCTGCAGCTGCTGCTTTTTTTTCAGTGCGGCTGGATTGCAGGCATCTCTCTGCCCGCTCCTCTGTTCCCTGCCCAGTCCTTATTGTGCATGCACGACATCACAACAATTACTGACGGTCACAGTGGCGCGTTGGAGAAGCAGAGCAAGCCAAGCCAGAGGTCAGTAATTTTCGCTGCAAAAAGCCTCCAGCCGCCGCATGTTTTTTTCGGTGCAGGTGGAGTTTTTTGTAGGCACCGGCCTCACAGGTCCATCCCATAAAGCCTGCTGCACTGGAGGGACTTGCCCAAGCAAGTCTGAATGGAGTGGTGCAGGAGTCAATGGGATGAGCCTGCATGGCTGGCGCCTAGAATGTGGCCGCAGCAGCGCATTGGAGAAGCAGAGCAAAGTTGGAAGTCAGTAATTTTCGCTGCAAAAAGCCTCCAGACGCTGCTCTTTGTTTTGATGCGGCTGCACCAAAAAAAACATGCGGCGACTGGAGGCTTTTTGCAGCAAAAATTACCGACCTCTGGCTTTGCTTGCTCCACTTCTCCAATGTGCTGCTGTGGCCATCAGGGATTGTCATGCATGCGCAATAAGGACTGACTGGGCAGGGAATGGAGGGCGGGTGGAGAGGAGTAGGGCCAGCCAGGGGCCTGTTTTATTGGTTCTCCATATTACCAGGGATGGTAATGAACCAGTAGAATCCCACCCCTGAATTGTACCCTGCAAGAGGCCCACCTTCAGCATTCCTCCTCCCTCCCCCTTGCCTCTTAGCACCCCCCTGCCGCCCCCCTTGCCTCTTAGTGCCCCCCCAAGTCATCCCACCCACCCCCAGGGGGCAGTACGGCCCGCTTTGGGAACCACTGATTTAAACCGAAAGAGTTGAATACAATCTCAGTATTCCCTTAAGTTTAAACTCAATAATAGATGTTCCTAAATGCAAAATGCTTTACAGGTAGTCTTCAATTTACAACCATTCATTTATTGCCTGATTAAAATTACAATGGCACTGAAAAAAAAAATCTTATGACAATTTTTTCACATAACTGTTGCAGCCTCTCTGTGGTCATGTGATCAAAATTTGGACGCTTGACATTGGCATGTATTCGTGAAGATTGCAGCGTCCCAGGATCATGTGACCTTCTCACAAGCAAACCCAACGGAGAAGCTAGATGCACTTAACAATCTTGTTAACTGCAGTGATTCACTTAATTGTGGCAAGAAAGATCATAAAATGGGGCAAAATTAATAACAATCATTGCTTAACAATGGAAAATTCAGGGTCAATTTTGGTCTTAAGTCAAATACCTGCATCAAGACATGCTTTTTGATTCAAAGTTTTACAAAGATATGTGTTTTATATACCATACAGACAGGGGAAAATGACAATGGAACAGAAATATAATTGTTTTGTGAAAAAAGAAGATAGTGTCCCAGGTGACAAAAGCATGCATTTAAGACAAGTATGCTTTGCAAACTTTTGAACTGTTTATGATTCTCTTAATCAATGGATAAATCAGGGGTTCCTAAGCCCCAGCCCTCTACCAGCCCACGGCCTATTCACAATTGGGCCGTGGTCCAGCCTACATATACCTGCAGCTTGACTTGCATAAGTTGAGCTGTAAGCATGTGTGCACACCAGCCCGCCATTCACATGGCCCGGTTCCCCTTTTCCCGTCCCCCCAGCCAGACCACCAAGCTACAAAGATTTGGGACGGATGGGATACATCACAGCATGAGCTGCATCTCTCCTGCAATTTGATGGTTTGAGTCTACTCTTCTGCAATGCCTTCCTTACAGAATTAATGGAAAGTACACAAAAAGATATCACCACCATTATATCCGTATGAGTCAGGATAACTGGAATCCATTAAGCATGCCCTCTTTTATTCCCAGCTTTACAGGGTACCTTGCACAACCTTAATTAATTCACTTCCGAACTTCAGGATTTACTACCAAATAGTATGCACAGTTCCTGCTCTCCAGCAGGAACTTTAGCACAATACATAATTATGTCTGCTTATAAAATTTAGCTTGGTACTGATTTTAAAAAGGGTGATTTGACATAAACAGTGGATCTGGAATGATATCTGTATATCCCCTCAGCAAGATATTTAATACAAAATTTGATTTGGAACTCACTAGTCTCTTCTGCAGTCTTCCCTAACCGAGGTTTCTAGTATTTCTCAAATATCAGCAAAATTTACTTCTTAGAAGATGGATTTATTTGTGGATAAAGGTCATAAAATAGATTCGAACTACACAGAAATAGTTCTTGCATGTTAAGTTTACCTGGCATAACCAATGATTAAGCTGCCAAACACTGTTCCAATTCCAGCTCCTGAACCAGCTACTCCCACTGTAGCAGCACCAGCACCAATGAACTTAGCAGCTGTATCAATATCACGGGAAACAGAGCTGGTTTGGATTTCCCGATGAGTCAGCTGATGAGTGGAAAAGCCGAAAGGCTGTGAAATAAGCAAATAATTATTTGTACAGTTTGAGCCAAACATCTGAAAGTTCCATGGTTTTCTTGCACAAAAATATGTAATTCAGCAGTTATCTGGCAACGTATTAGGATATATCAAGGACAGGTGTGAGGGTAAAGAAATAACAGCAAGATTAATGTCTTGCCAAACTTTTAGCCAAAGATAGAAGAAATGTAACTTTCATTATAGTGTTGACCTCTTAACACTGATCAGCCCCAGCTAGCATATTTGATACTAAGTGTGATAGAGACTGGCATTCAACAGCATCTGGAGGACTAAAGGCTTTTAGTCCTTAAGAGATCCTAATTGTGTGATCTTTTATGATTAAGAGGAAACTCCAGAAAAGAATTGAACAAGAATAATAGAAATACAGCTAGTTGGAATCAAGTAGCATGAACATTGAATGAATGAATGAATGTTTACCATATTTTTTGGAGTATAAGACACACTTTTTCCACCCCCAAATGTGGGTGGAGATGTCTGTGCATCTTATACAGCAAATATTGCCGAAGCCCTGAAGCCCCGCCGACCTGCCTGCCTCCACCTTTCGGCGTCTGCCTCCCAGCAATTTGCCTCCTTGCAGCAAACAGCCTATTTCAGTTTCAATACAGCCTGATTAACACAAGCAGCTGATTGTCAGTTGGATCGGCCTCCCGATGTTTCAGGATGCAGGGATTGCCATAGCCTATTGCCGCCTCCACACATCCCTTTTCCGCCTCCCATTTTTCACCTCTGCATACCCCATTTTCAGCCTCCGTGTGTTCTGTTTTCCTGCCATTCCGATCTCCGCCATCTGGAACAGGCAGAAAATAGGGTGTGCGAAGGCTGAAAATGGGATGCGGAGGCCAAAAATGGGGTGCATGGAGGTGGCAATAGGCTATGGCAATCTCTGCAACCGATCCAACCGACAATCAGCTTCTTGTGTTAATAAGGCTGTGCTGAAACTGAAACTGGCTGTTTGCTGCAAGGAGGCAAATTGCTGGGAGGCAGAGACAGATTTTTTTTTCTTGTTTTTCTTCCCAAAAACTGGGTGCATCTTATACTTCGGAGTGTTTTATACTCCAAAAAATATGGTATTTAACTGGTCCTTGGAAGTTGAAATTCATGAACCATCTAATTCAAAGTAATTTTTATACTGAGGGTGAAAGGTAAAGATACACCTGTTGAGAAGATGGCAATTAGGACACTGAAAAGGCTAGTGGCAAATAGTATGAGGATGGATGTTCTCTTCTTTCCCATGTTTGTGTACACCTCTGCTTGTGGTTTATGAACCATTACAAAATAATTCTTTCTGGTATTATTTAAGTAACATTAAACATTCTTGATCATACGGAAAGAATAGTTTCCTATAATGCCATAGCTCTCTTTTGGGGAGACCAACACAGATGTGCATCGGACTATATAAAATTCTTCTAATGCTCTGAGTGGTGTAAAATAATGTAACAGGAAACTACTAATATCATATAGATACAAGGGTCAAATATAGCCCATTTATGTCCTTCCAGAATATAATGTATAATAATAACTGTTTATACTTACCTGCACAATTTGAGTCTCAGGCCTGCTCAATAAAGATAGGGAAGCTGGCCTAGTTAGAATTCGAGAACAACAGCGAAGCTAGAGAGAAAAGTATTTTGGTTTATATCCAATTACATACAAATCTATGTAGTAGCCTAAGCTAGATAATCAAAGCTAAACTAATCCAAATCGATTTAAAATTCCTTACATTCACATTGAACTTTTTACAGTGACCTTCAATATGTTCTCAAGCACATACAAAAAAAGAATCTTTTTTATATCATTCAACACAAGCGACGTTTATACACATGGACAGCACCAAATGGACAAATCAGATAGGCTTCATCTTATGCCAACAATGCTGGGAAAGTTTGGTTGCATTCTTTTAAGATACTTCCTGGTGCTTATAATTGTAGCTCAGACCACCAGCTAATAGTGGCTAAACTGAAGCACAGAGTGAAAAAAGGTACCATCTCCCCAAAATTCAATGTGAACAACATTTCACCTATGTATGCCATAGAAGTTAAGAACAGCTTTGAACCACTGAATCTAGAAAGTTCCAAATGAACAGTAGTGAGAGATCCAATCTATCATTGACATTGCTGGATTGCATGTATCATGCCAAATGGCTTTCTGATCATACCACCAAAATAGCTGATCAGCGAAGAGCAAAAACTTTGCCCTTATTACTTTTGGCCAAAACCAAAGGTAATATGGGTGAAGTTAAAAAGCTGAATGCAATTTTCCAACCTGAAGCTGGGAAAGACAAAAATAGGAGGTGGGAGAAGCAATGTCAACATCTGGAAGTAGCTAGGTTTGCCATAGTGAAAAATATGTGATCCAGCTTTTCAGCATGGCAAGGAACTATTAAAGACTGCAATGGGAAAAAGACTCGGTACACATTGTATTTGAACAGATACAAATCAGGGTCTAGAATTGGATGTCCCCCGAATTAGGAAAGCCCTAAGTGTTGATGGAATACCTGCAGAATTACTATGACCAGTGCCAGTTAATATCATCTCTGCCTTATGTGAAGAGATATAGATTACATGTCAGTGGCCCCAGGACTGGAAAAGATCTGTTTTTATCTCATTAGTAAAAAAAGGAAACACCAGACTGCTCCAGCTATTGTACGATTGCACTGATTTCTCCTGCAAGCAAGAGTCTGTTAAGGATCATTAAACAGAGGCCACAGAATGTCATAGATCAAGAGTTACTTGATGTACAAGCTGGCTTTAGAAAGAGGAATAGAATAGAATAGAATAGAATAGAATAGAATAGAATAGAATAGAATAGAATAGAATAGAATAGAATAGAATAGAATACTTTATTGGCCAGGTGTGATTGGACACGCAAGGAATTTGTCTTGGTGTAAATACTCTCAGTATACATAAAGAAAAGATACATTCATTAAGAATCAAGAATCATAACGTACAACACTTAATGATAGTCATAGGGTACAATCAACAATCAAATCATACTAGGAAAGAGTCAATATAAATCGTAAGGATACAAGCAACAAGGTTACAGTCCTACAATCATAAGTGGGAGGGGATGGGTGATAAGGAGAGATGAGAGATTAACAGTAATAATAGTGTACACTTTGTAAATAGTTGAACAGTATTGAGGGAATTATTTGTTTAGCAGAGTGATGGCTTTCGGGAATAAACTGTTCTTGTATCTAGTTGTTCTGGTGCAGTACTCTATAGCGTCATTTTGAGGGAAGGAGTTGAAACAGTTTATGTCTGGGATGTGAGTGTGACATTCAAGTTCCCATTACCAATATTAGATGGGTTATGAAAAAGGCATGTGAATATCAAAAGAATCTATATATCTGTTTTATTGATTACAGAAAAGCCTTTGACTGTGTAGAACACAATAAGCTATGGCCAGCTTTGCATGATTTTGGTGTTCCAACCCACCTGATCAGACTTATCAGAATACTGTACACTGATCAGGAGACAACAGTAAGAAACTTTTATTCTGTGCAGTGTTGACACAAATTGGTTCAGGATCAGAAAGGGAGTTAGACAGGGATGTATTTTATCACTATTTTTGTTCAATCTATATGCTGGTGATCATGCATCAATTAGATGCATGGATATTGCTGGATATTTGCTGGATATTGAAATGAAGATCAAATAATTTAAGAAAAATGAAGTTATTTATTACTTTTCCATTAAGTCAGGTATAAGGCAAACATTCCATACCAGAGCTGGTGAAGCCAGAAGAGTTACTGGAGTCTGCATTCTGACTGTCCTGAATGAAGGAAAAGAGCTACAATGAGGTACACATAGTTTTAAAAAAATCACGGAGTTAAAAAAGACACACACACATCTCTGCCACTATAGGACAATAAAAGAAAAAAACGTTTATAATGGCAATATTTTGCCATTATAAAGATTTTTTTTCTTTTATCTGTTGGCTCCCCATTACTAATATATTTTTTAACAAAGTATAAATACAAACTTAAATGGCAGATTTAAAAGAAATGGTACATTTAGTTCTCATTTAGCAACCATAATTGAGACTGGCAATTCAGTTGTTAAGCAATGTGTTGCTAAATGAAATCATGGCTGTACTTTGGATTTCCTTTGTTTTACAAACCTTGAAGGATGATAAATGCAAGGATTGGTCATTAAGTTACTTTATGTGAACAGGGAGGGAGGGATGTGATAGCTATTAATTCTGTCACACTGACTTGTACTGATATAATTACCATAAGATAATGAAAAGCTACCAGAAAAGTAGATAAGTTAAAATGGCTATGATATTTAACAGAATTCTTTTTCCTTTTTTTTTACAGGCTATATATAGTTAGTGATAAGAAAACTATCAACTTGTTACAAATGTGCAACTACAGCTATCTCATATAAAATCTCTTTTCTCAGTTCTACTTTCTAACCAAACCTTTTCCAGATGCTAGAACACATCACTAATAGCATCCCACTAATTTTTTTTCTTTACAAATACCCAACCTGCCCAATTTAGATGCACTATTCATTTCTCTTTTCCCATTTAAGCTCTCATTCTTTATCTGTTTTGGCAGTTTCTCAAAATGGGTACAGCACAACATAAACAGCTTTTGAGGATCAGAGTAGAGCCACCCATTCATTTGTTCTCCCCTACATCAGTCAAATATATATTTGTTCAGAAGCCAATTTCACCGTGTTCAATGGAGCTATTCCTTGTTGGCATCAGGATTATACCTTGACAAGATCTAACTCAATAACAGTAATTTCAACAATCACAGGTTGGGAGGTCTCCGAAATTTGTCAGAGAAGAGCCTCTGCAACTTCTAGAAACCCTGAGAGATTTTAAGCCATGTTATCTTGGTTAGTCAGAAATAAGAACCTGTTGGGGGGTGTGTGAAAATACCATGGGGAGGGGGGTCTCGGTCCTATCTGACTTCATTGCATCTCTGTACACCAATGGAACTCGGAAGTTGTGGGAGCGCCATCAGTTGAGACTTTCAAGAAGAGATTGGACTGCCATTTTCAGAAACGGTGTAGGGTCTCCCGCTTGGGCGGGGGGTTGGACTAGATGACCTACAAGGTCCCTTCCAACTCTGATTCTCTGTTATTATCATTAATCATTACTTTCTAGCGGTCTGTACCCTCAAGTACCCTGGCTTCCTGCACAACTCCCCACCTCCTTCAAGTGCAGCGCCTACTCCTGCTTGCGCCGTCTCTCCGAAGCGCTACGCCGCTCACCTTCTAGAACAGAGATTCCACTGAACCCTCAAAATCGCGGCTCTCCCAACCAGCGTAAAGACAAACCCAGCCCGCCCTCGCTCACCTTGCCAATGTATCACTGCGTCCTCCGCTCCTATTGGTTGACGCGACGCAAGAAACGCCGTCCTGCCGCGGCCCAGTGGCTGACGGGATATAACTTTCTTCACTAATCAAGTTTCTGGGCTGGGATTCCGCGCGCTCCTTCCCCCCCCCCACCTCCACTACTCAGGGAGAGTTGCCAATCGCCCATTGGCTAGCTCCCTTACGCTGTCGAAGACGGTTCATAAGATTATGCTAGAGACGAAGCAAGAGAGAAAGGGTGGGTCATATTCTCTCATTGGAAGATTTGAGGTCATTTCGTGGCGTGGAACGGGGGAGTCTACTTGTGCAGAAAAGGGACCAGCCACGATTCGTAATGCATGGGAGATTCCGTGTGCGAAATAGCCGTCTGTGTCATTTTTGTTGCTGTAATAAATTTTGGTTTTCATCAAGCATATTCCTAAGGCTCTCGCCTTAGATTTGATTTGCCTGCTGTTTTTCTATCAAGGGCCGGTCTTCCCTAATCTGCTATTTTCAGATTCTTTCTATATCTTACCTCCAGAGCTCTGAGGGATAGTTGAATGTGAACAACTGTTGGGAGGAGGGAGAGACAGAGAGAGAGAGAGAGAGAGAGAGATGCAAATTTGTAGCTTGCAAATTTGTTTTTATCCAACTTTTAATATTTTGTATACCCAATAGTCCTTCATTCTGAATAAGAATAAAGCTGGAAGGGACCTTGGAGGTCTTCTAGTCCAGCCCCCAATCAAGCAGGAGATCCTATACCACTGCAGTGACTGGCCAGTCTCTTCTTAAAAACTCCAGTGAAGCTGTTCCATTAATTATCCTCACTGTTAGGAAGTTTCTGTTAGGAAGTTCTAAGTTACTTCTCTCCTTGATTAGTTTCCCTCCATTGTTTCTTGTCCTGTGTACAGGTGCTTTGGTAAATAAGTTGACACCCTCCTCTTTGTGACAGCCTCTCAAATACTGGAATATTACTATCATGCCCCCCCACTCCTTCTTTTCTCTAGACTAGCCAAACCCAAATCTTCCAACTGTTCTTCATATGTTTTAGTCTCCAGGCCTTTAATCATTTTAATTGCTCTTCTTTGCACTTTTTTTTTCCAAAGTCTCAACATCTTTTTTGTAATGTGACTAAAACTGGATGCAATATTCCAGGTGTAGTCTTAGGCATTATAAAGTAGTAATACTTCACGCAATTTTGATTCTACACCTCTGTTTATACAACCAATTAGCTTTTTTGGCTATTGATGCACATTGCTGACTCATGTTTGAGTGATGTCCACTAAGACTCCAAGGTCCCTCTCACAGTTTAGTTTAGTTTATTGTCATTGCACCTCGTACAACGAAATCAAACACCATCTTCAGTGTACATCATGACCATGACTATGAAAATAAACACAAACATATCCTTCACCCTTCACACATTGAACTGAAAACCCCTGACACCACACCAACACTGTACTGTACACTATAATTCAAAAAAGCTACTGCCCTGGGATAGAAGCTATTTTTCAGCCTATTTGTCCTTGCTTTTATTATTCTGTACTGTTTGCCAGTTAGTAATAGTTAAAAAAAAGGGTTCCCAGGATGAGATGGATCTTTGAGAATGTTTTGAACTTTCTTAAGGCAGCGGGAGCTAGAAAGCTCTTCCAAAGAGGGAAGAGGGCAACCAATGATCTGGGCAATGATGTTAACCCTCTGGAGTGCTTTCCTATCTGCCACTGTGCAATTGGCAAACCATACAGAGGTGCAGTATGTTAAAATGTTCTCTATGGTGCAGTGGTAGAAGGTTACCAGCAGTTTTTCATTCAGTTGTTGTTTTCTGAGAAGTCTCAGGTAGTATAATCTTTGTTGGGCCCTTTTGACCAGGGCTGCAATGTGGGCACCCTAGGTCAGATTCTCTTTTAGGCTAACACCCAGAAACTTGCTCCACTTAGTCTCCATTGATAAGCAAGGGCTGGATGTCTAATTTGTTCCTTCTATAATCCACTATAAGTTCCTTGGTCTTATTGATGTTGAGGACCAAGTTATTGTCTCCACACCATGAAAGCAACCGGTCCACCTCATCTTGGTAGGCAGACTCATCCCCGGGAGATAAGTCCCACCACTGTTGTATCATCTGCAAATTTAGCAATAGTATTACTAGTGTAAGAGGAAATGCAGTCATGCCCATAAAGAGTATAGAGTAAGGGACTCAACATGCAACCCTGTGGTGTGCCAGTGTTAAGAATAAAGGCTGAAGAGGTGTGATTACCTAATCTGACCTTCTGTGAGCGGTCAGACAGGAAATTCATAATCCAAAGGTAGATTGAATTAGAAAGCCCAAGGTCCAGAAGTTTAGACACTAGTCTATGTGGAAGAATTGTATTAAACGGAGAACTAAAATCCACAAAAAGCATCCTCACATAGACCCCCCTGCTGTTCTAGATGAATCAGAGCATAGTGAAGACTGATGGCTATAGCGTCCTCTTGTAGATCTATTTTTTCTCTATGCAAACTGGTGTTTATCAAAATGTATGCAGAAGACCAGAAATGATGTGCTGGCAGACCAATTTCTCAAAGCACTTCATGATGATAGGAGTGAGTGCCACTGGTCTATAATCATTGAGGTTATTGATAGGGAACTTCTTTGGCAGTGGAACAATGGTGGAAGCCTTCAAATAAGATGGATTAGTGAACTGGGATAGTGGACTGGGATAAAGACCGATTGAAGATCCTCCAGCCAACTGTTCAGCACAGTCTTTAAGCACTAGGCCAGAGATACTGTCAGGACCGGCAGCCTTTCTAGGGTCCATAGCCCTCAGAATGCTTCTCACCTCCTATTCCTCCACAATGAGGTGGGGGCTACAGTTGGGTGGTAATTGTATTTTATCTGTCTCTGATGTCTCCACTTCAAAGCGAGCAAAGACTAAGACTCCAAGGTCCCTCTCACAGTTACTATTTTGGAACCAAGTTTCACCTAATCTGTACTTGTACCTTTGGTTTTTCCTACACAGTGTAAAACCTTGTTTTTCTCCACATTAAATTTCATTTTGTTGGCTAGGGCCCATTGTTCAAGCCTGTCAATATCTTTTCAGATCTTGAGCTTGTCTTCTGGGGTGTTGGCTATTCCTACCAGTTTAATGTCATCTGCAAATTTGATGAGTTCTCCTATTATCTCATCTAAGTTGTTTATGAAGATATTGAAGAGTACTGGGCCTGCAACAGAACGAGTGATGGGATTCAAATTTTTTTATTACCAGTTCTGTGGGAGTGGCAGGGAAGGATACTGTAAAATCTCCAGTCAGAGGTGGTATTTGCCGGTTCTCTGAACTACTCAAAATTTCCACTGCTGGTTCTCCAGAACTGGTCAGAACCTGCTGAATACCACCTCTGGACAGAACTTTGTAGTACCCCACTGCTTACTTCCCTCCATGTTTATGTAGTACCATTAAGGACTTCTCGTTAAGTAAAGTTTGTCAGCCAGTTACAAATCCATCTGGTGGTGTTGCTGTCTATCCCACATTTTTCTTGTTTACCAAGAAGTAGATTTGGTCTACTTTGTCAAATGCCTTGCTGAAATCTAAGTATCCTATGTCCACAGCATTTTGCTGATTTACTAATTTAGTCACTTTGCCAAAGAATGAAATAAGATTGGTTCGGCATGATCTTTTTTTAACAAACCTGTATTGGCTACTAGTTATAACTTGATTTGTTTTTAGATGTTCACATATATATTTTTTGAGTATTTTTTCCAGTATCATCCCAGGTATTGATGTTAGGCTAATTATTCCGTAATTTCCTGGATCTATTCCCCCCACCCTTTTTTTTTTAAAGATGGGAACCACATCAGCTCTTTTCCTATCCTCTGGTAGTTCCCCAGTGCTCCAAGATTTTTTAAAGATATGATACAATGGGTTCTGAGATAACATCTGCCAGCTCCTTCAGAACTCTGGGTATGTAATCCATCAGGTCCCAGTTATTTATATTCATTAAGATCAGAGAGGTGTTTTCTTATAATTTTCTTGCTTATTTTAATTTTTATTTCTATTCTGTCTTTGATAGTTGTAGGTAGGTTAGGTTATAGTTTCCTTTTGTGTGAAGACTGATGCAAAGAATGAGTTAAGCAGCTCTATTTTCTCTCTACTGCCTGTTACTTCCATGCTCTCTTTTCACTTTAGTAGGAGGTTTAATGAGGAGAAATGAAGAGCATCCTACTCTTTATTTCATTACTGTTATTAGCTGGAAATTTAAAAAGTAGTGGATTCCTAAATGATGGCTTAGCTAGGGACAAATTGCATCTGTCCTCAAAGGTAAGTATAGCAAAGGTGGGGGGACCATATTCTTCTGCAATTTTTTTTATGGAATAAGAAATTCAATATTCATGGGAGATGGCAGGATTACTTTAAAAGAATGACAAAATAATTGTGGACTGTGTGAAATAGATTTGATGCTTTAAGAAAAGCAGTTGAGCATTTCTTCCACAAGGAAAAAAAAAAAAGAAATAGTCCGTTTTATTATTTGTATTACAAATGAACTAGTGATTTGACAAGCTTCAGTTTCAAAAAAGAATCTGCTAAAAGTGGTCCTTGATCCTTCTTCGTCCTGAACCCCAGCAGTTATTAACTCAGATTATAGGCGTGACATCAAAAAAGCTTTTTTAAAAATTGCACCTCAGAACTACACCTCCCAGCATTCTTTGCAACACTTTAGGTTGTATCATCCCACAATGGGCGTGGGGGGTTTATAAACCGAGAAGGCGTCTCTTACTAAGAGCGGAGTTGTGCGAGTCTTTTGACTTGGGCGGTCTTCGCTTCGTGTGGGAGTTCTTCGCTTCGTATGGGAGATCTTCGCTTCTGCTAACCACCGGCAAAGAAGTGAGTAAGAATTTAAGAAAAGTTTGGTTCTAACAACAAACTAACTATTTCGTTAGCAGGTACGAGGAAGAAAAGTGTTTTTAAAGACAGGGTGAATGTCCAGAAGGGATGTTATAAAGATTATTACACTCTAGCTGTGTATTTTGTTTCTCTGGTTCGCTGCTATATTGACTGTTCTGGGATGGCTGTTCACCTAGTTCTGTAAGGCGCAAGTCCTCCAACTTCATGCCGTTCGGATGGATTTCATTTCGACTCTCCGGGACATACATCTAGGGGATATTGTATATTTACTGTGTTTTTTCTGATTATTATTATATCGGGAAATGTGATTCAATGATTACCGGGTCTCAGAAAGCAAAGGGCTGAATTCATCCAGAGAACAATGCATCAAAGCTTCTGTTACCTTTTGCTTTGATTTCTCACCAGGAGAAATGAGTTACACTCATGCAAGTGTAATCCTTGAAGGTAGGCTCCGGAAACGAACGATATTTATTTGCAAAAGTCAAATAGGCCATAGAGAAGATGTAGCTAGAAGTCTTGTAATGCATATTAGCACTATGATATGCCTTTTCCACTTGATTGCTTATATTTTAACTAGGCTATGTTTCCCACAAGAGTACCAAAGGACTGAGAGGAACTTTGAGACAAAAATTGTACAGTGTTCTACAAAGCACTGAACAAAAAGTTATACAGATTTGCTTTGCACACATTATAGCCCTATTTTGTGTTCTGACTTTTGCAGGTGGGACTTGCTTCAATCAGTAGAAAACTACTACCTGTTTAGGATAACAGATCAGGTGAGTCTTAATTGTTTGAATGTATAGAAGATAGCATCCTCATAGGAATGGGTTTTGAAACAGAACCTTACTAAAATCCAGTATAATGTTTCATAATTGCATAGGTTTATTTTTGCTTCTCCTTAGTCATGCCTAAGCATAAAAAATGTAAGGAAAAGTTTCAAATTGGATTTGGTGGTTTTTATTGTTGTAGGTCATTCGATTAATTGCTCATTTTCTAACAAGTTCTTGCCAAATGGTTCAGAGTTTTTCCTGCAATAATCCTGATAGCTGCTTAAGTCTAACTTGGTTCTGGTCAAATTTTCAGCTTCATAATGTGTGAATGGATCAGAGTTCCCAACTTCTTTTTGTCCTGGTCTTTAATCATAGCATCTACTCAGGGAGAATTTGGGTTTCCAGAGAATGTAGGTTTTCTTTGTATTTTATTTTACTCCTGTTTCCAATTTCTGAGCTGCCCATCTCCCTTAAAGAGTCTTTTTAGCAATTTATGACTGTTTTAGAACTTCTGCTGAGGTGTGTGATGTTTTTCCCCCTTAATTTGCCTACCTATAGGTTTCTCATCTTAAAGAGTGCTCATTAGAGTAAAATAACACTTGTTTTTTGTGTTTATATTTATTTTAACCTAATGTATTTTCTGTATTGGAACTTTGAAAAACTTGTTCATTTCTGATCCAGAGTAATAAAGGAGAAGTCTGGTGCCCTGTGAGGTAGGTGCTGCAACAAAGAAGGCATGCCTCCTGGGTCCCACTAGATGACATTGTTTCTAGAAAGGAGTTGGAGCTTGCCCAGTACAGAAAGTAAATATTATTTTGGCAGTACTATTACCCAGCCAAAAGTGTTTCTGAGAAAACCCTAAAAAAAACCCATGCTCTACCAAGTTTCAGCAATATATGCAAGATTAACCTTTTCATTCACAATTAAATCACACATGAGAGGTGCCTTATTAGAGACAGACTTACATTCAACAGTAATGCCCCAAAACTGGAACCACTAGGGCTCTGATCACAAGGCATTATCGCAGAACACAGGGCATTTTGGTTTTAAAAGGTGGAATCACCTTCCCCATGAACAGTCTGCTCTCCATCTCCACGATATTATTGTCTCTCATCTTCCCCTTTCCCATGCTACACAATGATGTGTAGTTTTTAAGTGGTTAACATGCTAGACTAGAAGTGGGAGAACCTGAGTTTCAGGCCTGCCTTAGATATAAAGTTAGCTGGTTAACCTTAAGCCTGTCACACACACCCCCAGCCCTGAAAAGTTGACAAATCACTTCTGAAAATGCTTCTCAGAAAACTGCATGCAGTTTTCAGAGGAAAGCATAACTTTACCTAGGTCCTGTTAAACATACCAGTGTGATCTAATGGTTAAAGCACCAGGCTAGAAACTTGAAGACTATGAATTCAAGTCTGGCCTTAGTCATGAAAGCCAGCTGACTTTGGGCCAGTTACTCACTCTCAGCTGTTGTGGGGAAAATAGGAACATTATACATGCTTACCATCTTGAATTGTTTATAAAAATAATAATAATAAATAATAATAATATAATAATAAATAATATAATAATAATAATATAATAAATATAATAAAAATAAAATAAAATACATTGCTGATACTATTCTTTTTAGCTATAGGCTAGCTATCAAAGACACCATCACTAGACATCTGTTTTGGCCTGATTGACAATTCATTTGCTCTGAATATGTCTAATCAGTGCACAGATTAGTTCCTTGTCTGGTACCTTAACCAAAACACCACATTGGTTCTTTCTAATGAAATTGCAGGGATAGATTGGCAAGCTAGAATGGCATTGTCAAATATTTGACAATATGATACTAACTTGCCAATCTGGGGTGAAAAAATCTCCCTAAAAATTTTGTTTTTAAACTTCTGTTTCCCTTCACTTCCCCAAATCTTCTATTTTTTTCCCTCTGAATCTTGATACCTGTAGTCCCGGGATGTCAAACTTACCAACCATGCCCATGGCCACTTTAACAAAGGGAAAAAAAGTTGTGATACATCATGTGATGATGACATGAAGACACAAGTTTGACACCCCTGCTCTAGCTGCTGGAGATCACATGCCACAACATAGTTCAAGCAGATATAGCCCACTTGTGTGTCGATGCAGAAATGTAGATTCCTGAAATTAATATTGAATTTCCTTTGCATCCGTATTTAAGGACATCGAGCTGAGTTTCTGCCTGTCACAGAGCTGTTAAGACAAGCACAAGTTCAGAACTGTTCCTGCTGTTTGGTAAGTAGTATTTACTTGATGGTTTCATGACACAATTAGTAATCCCATTGTTTCAATTGTTAAAAGTCGGTGTGGTTTTTGTTAGCATGTGAAAAGTGAAAGTAGAATACAGTACTGGCTTTAGTTCTTAAAAAAAATATTTAAAATGCTTTCTCACTGAGCAGTTGGCTCTTATCTCGTTATTACTTTACTAAACCAGGGGTGGGCTGCTACCGGTTTGCACCAGTTTGGGTGAACTGGTTGTTAATTTTAGCGAACTGGCAAATCCCACCCTTGGCTGACCCCGCCCCTCCCAGAAGTCCCCACATGGCACGTTTTGGATTTCAGGTAAGTGCAGGGCCTGTGCGGAGGCTGGGGGAGGGTGAAAAACAGGCCTCCCAGAAGAACCAGAAGAACTTCCGGAATAAGTTCCAGAGAACCTCAAGGGAGGCCATTTTCCCCTTCCTAGGAGCTCGAGGAAAGCCTCTGGAGCCTTGGGGGGGAGAAAATGCCCCCGCAAAGCCCATTTTTGCAACAAGGGTGATGCAGGAGGCCAACTAGGGCATGCCTACCATGGCCATGCCAACCCAGCAACTGGACAGAGAACCAGTTGCTAAACTATTTGAAGCCCACCCCTGTACTAAGCTCTACCAGTATGGGGCCACTTCAGCTTGGTTGGTGGTCGGACTGCCTGAAGGAGTCCAGCCAACATGGATTGAAGGTGCTGGTAAGATCTCTGCCCCACTTCCTAGGATTGCACAAGGTCAAGAGAATCTGTAGTTACTTTGCAAGTCATTGCCATGATATCTTCCTTGCTTCTGCCAACATGAATATAAATTATCTTGGCTGAAAAATAGTTTGTGGTAGGGCTGTCTGAAGAAGTCCAGCCAACATAGATTGAAGGTAAGGTCTCTGTCTCTCTTCCTAGGATAACACAAAGTCAAGAGAATCTGTGGTTACTTTGCAAGTCATTGCTGTGATATTTTTCTGCCAACATGAATATAAGTTATCTTGGCCGCAAAATAGTTTGCAATTATATCTGAATAGCCTGAAGGAAGGTTGTTCTGCCCTCTTTTCTCAATAAGATATGGGCCTAAGGGCATGAATGCTTTGTGTTTAGTGTTAAAGGTAGCTTGATCATGTTTGGAGAATAGATAGTTCCTGTGCAAAGTTCTTGTTATTAATTTGGCTCTCATTCTGCAAAGGGAACCAGAAGGAGGGGAAGGGAAAAGGGGTTTGACGCTGAAGGGGTGAGGGAAGTAAGAGATTTACAAACACCAAACACAATTAAGAATTGGAAGTCAAGGGGACCAGTAACTGTCAATTAGATTTCTTCATTCATCCCGTTAGAAGACTCATATAACTGACACTGACAATAACAGGCAACAATATTACTCATTGTATGTTATCTTTCCAGATTAGAACAGAAGTGCAAATGTATGATTAAACAATTTTTCAATACTAAACTGAGATTACTGTTAATTTTGTTAATTCCTGATCTGTTTTCTGACACCTTTTAAAAAACTGGATTTCCAGTAAAGTTGCTTCCTGAATTCTGCACTTTGTTTTAAAAAATATGCAGAGTCAAAATAAATGTGGAGCACGATTGGAAATCTCAAGCTAAATATCAAAATATAGAAATTATACAATGAAAATCAAAGCTGTTCTTCTCTTTAAAATGGAATTACCTGAAACATTCATGGAGTAATTGTTATTCTCTATGGACTAGAGATTATCTAGTCCAAGCCTGCACTGAATCCTGGATCCACTTTTTAAACTCAGTAACTTTTAAGAAAGGTAGACTTCAATTCCCAGAATTCCCCAGCCAGCAGTGCATATTATCCATAATATAGCAAATCTATAAAGCTGCTGCAAATGTATGCAAATAATTGACAAGTATTTCATATGACTAATATTTTCATACCTGATTTCACTTATGGCTAAGTAGATGGATTATTTGTTTTCTGCCTTTGGCGTATATAGTGTAGGATCTCTATTTATTCCTCATGTGAATAAATACCTCATAACTGTATTTCATAGTTTTTTCAGAGCTTACTATAGCTTCTGTTAATACATGAGTTATATTAGGAGACCCAAAACCAGAGTTTGAGAATTTGTTTTAATATCTGAACCAAGCTTGAGTTTTAGCTACTGAAAAAGGCTTAAACATGGGCTTTCTCAATAATAGCTCAATATTTTAATCACTACAAGCATCCCTTCCAGCCCAGCAGCCCAACTGCTGGAAGAGATATTTGTAGAAGCTGTTTATAACAGAATTGCAACTTAGTTAACTCCCCTCTGCAACATCAAACACCTTTTAATGAGTATTAAAAGCACAGGAGCCAAGAGGAACAGCAGCATCTCTAAGAGGATGGTGTCAGCTATATTCCTTTCATCATATTATGGAATTCAGATTCCACTTGAGTTCGATGAACCAAGCTATATTTCTCTGCAATTTGTACTGTTCATGCTCACTGTGGCAGCTGAAAATTATGATCCAGCATCATCTGAAGGGCTGTGTATTGGGCTTCTGCTATTTTCAGAATGTAATTTCTTCCCGATCATTATTTGGGGTCATTAAGAGCTGCTCCATGAAGCTTTGTCTCCTTGGAACACCTTTTCCCTGTCTTGCAGCTACAAAGGCTATTTCAATTATCCTCAGCCCAAATTTCAAATGAAGAGAATTGTAGACGAGAAAGCCCTAACTGGGGGAAGCTACCTTATTTCAGTGAATAAAGCTATGTAATGCTGAACTAAGGATTTGCCAGACGCTACAGGGCCAAAAGAGGTAAGCCTAAGTTTTCAGTCAATCAGAGGGCCCCAAAGTCTGAGGCAGAAAGCATACATGGCTTTTTTTTAAAAAAATGTTGCTTGGTAGAAACTGCTGAGACCAAGAAACATTTTTTGGCCTACGCTTGATCTTAAGCCTCTGTGGCTTTAGTTTCATTTGCAGATCACATTACTGATTTTGACAGCAACTCAGGTTTAAGATATAAAAAACTCTTTCTCTTGAAGTAAAACACAAATTAGTTATCTAATATGGATAATATGGATATGGATGGAGAAGAACATTTGAGAAAGGCTGTTGCTTATTATTTGCTGAAATTAGTAATTAAAATAAGGTGGGCTTCCACTAGCAAGGGCAGTATGTGTTGAGAGGAGGCAGATCATAAAGAAGTGCTGTTTCCCAATTCTTATGTAGCCCTTCTCAGATGAGTTACTTCTATTGCCTGTTGAACAAATCCAGCAAATCATCTTATTATGAGCCATGGTGGCATACTGCTGGCTACTCCTGCTGACTGCAGCTGTCTGCAATTTGGCAGTTCAAATCTCACCAGGCTCAAGGTTGACTCAGCCTTCCATCCTTCTGAGGTGGGTAAAATGAGGATCCAAATTGTTGGGGGCAATAGGCTGACTCTAAGGGTTGTAAAGCACTGGGAAGCAGTAAGTCTAAGTGCTGTTGCTATTATTGATCAAAATGCACAAACCTACACACACAAACCTAGTTTATGAGTATTTGTGCTTCCGCCCCCTCCATCACCAGAATCGGTCCCACTTATTATGGGAACTGAATTAAAAAACTCAGTGCAATCCTGTGCACTGAACATCAAGATCCAATTCCATGGGAACTTGTCTTATGTAAATTCTTATTTATTTTAATAAAAGGAATAATCAAGAAGCAGTAGCACACATCAGTAGTTAACTATTTTGATCTGACTCTTGCTACTATTAACAATTACCAATGTATCTTTTGAGGATGTGTTGGAATTTCTTTATTCTTAACAAGATCATTCTGGGATGATTAAAAAAAAGCAGACAGTTAAATGTAGTTAGGTCAAAAATAATGAAAGCAAGCTGTTTGGTGAGCAGTGGCAAGCATCCATCCATCCAGCCCAGGTTGTAGACATTATAGTCTGTTCCTTCTTTATTAACCCCCTTTGTCCAGTCATCAAGTTCCCCCCTCAAATGATTCCATATCAAGGACTTTCTTTCTTATGTCCAATTTTCTTGAAACCACATTTATCTAATAAGCTGTCCTTGGGGGTGTATACCTTATCTCACTTTCTGGGACAAGCTGTCTCAAATGCCTCTGAGCAGTGAAGAGTAAGAATGTCAACAAGTCTTAAAACAAGATATGGCTTCTCAAACTAAGTAAAAGTGTAAATGCTTCAAATAAAATATTCCAATACTATAGTCTAGAAAATATTCTAACAGCTGTTTAAGAATTTCTTCTCTTTGTAGGGCCACTTCTATCCTTCTCTGCTAATGACTATTAGGAGGATATTGGTCTTTATTCCAAATTCCAGATACAAAAAAGACAGGACTACTATAATTCAGAAACTTGAAACCTAGTTGAATTGATTGGGAACTTTTCTTTCTTTCCAGGTTGGCGACATATGTTCCTCCAAACATGTTCCTTGTATATTTACCATATTTTAAATTTCTCCTATAAATAATATCAATCAGCTACTTGTTGCTTGGGAAATTAAAATTTATTTCTGGCAAGCTTCATCGATTTAATTTGATATCCATATTGCTTAGAACTATTGGATTCTGAGAGATCTTGTTATTCCCAATCAGATTCACTATCATCCCTGATACTACCACCATCTTCATTGCTACTTCCCAATTCCATCCAACCTTGTGCATGAATCATTAGGATTCATTTACAGAAAATTGTCAGAGGATTTTTAAAGAGTAAACTAGTGGGTTGCATTGTGCTATGCTTTGAATTAGATTGTTTGAGTCCCAAAGTATCTCTTCACAATCACCTGTCTGCAGTCCATTAATCAGTCACATCTTTTTCTAACATCACTCAGCTGCTTCAGAGGTTTCCACAATTCTGGAAACAGCTGTAGGCAAAGATGCTTGTGTTTCTGCAGTTTCCAAAGTTCCTGTTCCCAGTTAAATCCAAACCATTGAAAGCCCTATTAATAAATACAAAAATGTGCCTTAAAATTATCTAGAGAGACACTTATATGTTCTCTTGAGCCAATAGTCTTGGGAGACACAATAAGGTGAACTTATGTGTCTCCCAATACTCTATTGCTCAAGAGGGCTTATATGAGTGTCTCTCTAGATAGTTTTAAGGCATGTTTTTATCATCTTTCACAAAAATGTAAAAGTAATATGTAAAATCGTGCAACAATCGTGCAGCTTCCCTTTTTTTGTTTTATGTATTTGTATCCCACTTTTATTAGTTTTACAAATAACTCAAGATAGCAAACATATACCTGCTCTTCTTATTTTCTCCACCCAACAATCCTATGAGGTTTGTTGGGCTGAGAGAACTGGTGGAAAGTCCCCATTTTTCATTGTTCTTTCCAAGAAAACTATGATAAGACCAGTATTGTTTTGTTTTAATTGTTGGCACAATCCAACACTGGGTTCAAGTTAGTCAGCACTATAGGCCAATGAATTCATGCAGAATAAGGTGTAATGCAAACTCTTTATTTCTGTTACAGAAGTAAAGGGATACACTTGGGACCCAAGTTCAAATCAAGTATACTTGTTGAAATTCAGCAAGTTCTTTTTATGCCATAAAATTACATGTGGACAAAATCACATATATTTTTCTTAACCTACTAATGATAACCTTCCTTTTATCTCTGGACATTTGCAGACACATTGTTAAACTCAGCTAAATGCCATGTTACTTTCCTTTGTTCCATTAACAGGCCCATTTGCAGAATTCCTTCGCAAGAATACAAAGCTACATTCTTCCAGCTAGTCTACATATGTGATTAACCTATGAAGTGTTTGTTGTCATCCCCTCTGGCTCATACTACCATGTGTTAAAGAAGACATCAGTTAACTGCTAGTAACTATGTCTAGCAAAGGCACAGACAAGTTGATAAAAATGGAGCAGCCAATTCATGATTTACAAAAGTTCCTAATGATTTGTTTGCAAGCCAATTTGGCAAGTATTTCACAAGCCATTACGCCTGACTCTCACTATGGCAAGTGAAAAGTAGGCATTCTTCCTAGCTTTGGTAGATCTGACTTTGTTTTAACCATCCTTTATTTTGGGTTGCACAGCCATTCACATAGCTACGTTTTTATTACTTCTGGTTTGTTTGGGTTGCTTTCATCTTTGACTTCACCTTGAAATCTATTGACGTAGGTTATAATATTTTAGATATATAACTACTGCATTTGCAACCTTGTTCAGAATAGAATAGAACAGAATAGAAGACCTTGGAAGTCTTCTAATCCAACCTCCTGCTCAAGCTGGAGACTAAACTATTTCAGACAAATAGTTGTACAATCTCTTGTTAAAAATCTCTAGTAATGCAAGCAATAGTATATTGGCTTGCAAGTTAATCTCTAGACAGCCTAGTTTGCAGAACATAGGATAACCATGCTTGTGGGTAAACTGGACAATGCTTGTGCTTGTGGCATATTGTCCAAAATGTGCTCAAACTTGAGTGGCACTATCTTTACTGTTACGGATCTGGTACAGATGCACCATCAGGTAACTTGGACTATACTTTATTTTACTGAAAAAGTGCTTTGTGAAAATTTTAAGCAACTCAAGCCATTATACGTATCAGAGATCAATATTTTAGAAGCCCATCTAATATCTTTAAGAAAATTGCATCTTGGAATGTAAGGGGGGGAAATGATAAAAGAGTAAAAATATAAGAAAAAAATATGTCTGCCAAACTAAGGAAGAAGAAAACTATAACAGATCTGAATGAAGGTGGTCTGATTTTGTAGACTTGATAACTATATGCAAAGAAGTAGAAGTGTACAATTCAATTAAAGGGTTCACAACATGACAAATTAGGAATCACTGTTATCCATGTTATTGTTGATGAAAATCAATTGAATTATAAATTGATTATAAATTGATACATTTCAGATATTAATGAATGGTAGTAATAAAAAACAGAGATGAATTTTAGGCAAATGAAATCATTTCCAGTTTATTTTCATTTCCTATTAAGTTAGAAGGGTTTTGCATTTGATTGTGTTATAAAGAAAGTTTTAATTTTTTCTTAAAAACAATATTTTTAAATGGCAGATTTATGTTTTTTATCCTTTTCCTAAAGAAGAGGGGCTAATTTCTCTAATCACATTCTTTAGAGGCTACAAGATGAAGAGTTGGCATTATAGAATTTAGTTTTCTTTTTCATCTTTATTATTTTACTTTGGTGATATCCCAATTATTTGCAAGTAAGACCATAGCGAGTCCTATCACATAGGCTGGAGATAAGGGAAGCAGGAAAAGACATCTCCCAAAAAGATAGTTGTAGGCTGCACTAGTTACCAGTCAGCTACATAAAGTCAGGAAAGTGGGCAGGCGAGTGTAAACAGAGTGTTTCTGGGAAAGGAGGTTTGAGAAATTCCATGTTTCACTGTATGGTCATAAAATGTATGTTGCTGTGCCAAACACTAAATAGGTGTACTTGTTCCATTCAGCCATGTTTTCTTCCCTGATAATATTTTGTGTGATAAGCAGTACAGAATTACTACATCTATCCCTTGCCATTGGTTGTGCTGGACAGGGCAGTTGGGAGTTGATCCGAAACACTGGAGGCATTCAGTTTTATTGTGTTACTCCCCCTTATGTTTCCCATTCCAACCTCAGAGAACTCATTCTGTATCTATTAACAATTTGTATTTCTGAGAATTGTTGATATTTCTTCTCTCTTATCCATCTGGCTGGCATCTGATAGGAAATGACCAGCCAGTCAGGGCAGAAGAATCAGTTGGGGAATTATTAGCCTTGAATAATTGCACAGTTGCAAGAGCTCCAGGGCTGACACCCCCTGGAATCTTATCTATCTGTTTTCAAGGGAAAAGCAAGGAGTCTGGGAGTGTTGATCTATTATTTGGGTTTGACGACATTATTCTGATTGCAGGAGTATTATTTTTAAAAATGAGTTTGCTATTAGTTTTAGAACAATGAGGGCATAGTTTACTGCACTGTTCTGCCAAGTCTATTTCATTATATTATGTCTTATGAATCAAATCTGCTATTTCCACTTTGATGTTGCCCTTAACACTGCTACCTAAAAGAAGTTGTTATCATATTACATAGGAAAGTCATTTATGTGCAGATTATCATGAGATAATTTTGATCATCAGAAATCTTTGGAGCCATTTTAGGTAATGCCATTTTATTTCTTAACACTTTAAAATGTTAGTTAAAAACATTACATGGACAGCACAGGTTGCTGAAACTTTAAAGTGTGATTCATCTCAATATGGAGTACAGTATCTTGCTCGTTCAATAATAACTGCCCATAGCAGAAATTTAATAAGTTCATATAACTCCAAGAAAGAGTCGCATAGCTTCGCATTATGAAGTCAAGACTGATGAAGCATTTTAATCATTTTGCCTTTGTATTCTCTCCCCCCCCCCCCACCCCCCCCCGTTTCTATATTTGGTTCGTTTCTTTACAGGACTTCAGTATGGCGGATAAGTTTTATAACAATTTGGAGGAACCACCTACTTCTGTCATGTTGGAAAGCTGCCAGTTCTGTCAGGTCATCTTTGGAAACATAGAGAAATTCTATGTTCCTGGAACAGATATAACTTGCTATTATAACCTTTCCCGGTACTTCATGCCTCGCAAGAAGGATTGGGTGGGCATATTCAAAGTAAGTTTGATTTGCAAAATCCACTGGTGTTTGAATTGTAAAACACAGCCATTGGAACTGATGTAGGATAGTTGATCTCTTTTGATAAATACATCAGGAGAAAAAAATTCAGCTATAAGGAAAATTGAGACTTGGTAGTTTTTAGGTTTATCTGAGATCCATATCTTGAAGTAAAGAAGAAATAATAGAGGAGGGAAGCTATTTTTTTCCATTCGATTTACAGTTTTTGTTAATAAATTATATGTCTTTTTACCATGTAATAAGTAGTGCTTGTGCCATTTTCAGCTGTTACTCTGCGATTTAGTACCAAGTCAACATTTATCTTATGGTTCTTTCCCCAAAACTAAGTAGAGTTTTACTTTCCCTTGAATATTACTTTCCCCAAAATTGTGAATGGGTATTATGAATAAACCACTTTGAGAAAGAATTCCTAAAGTTATCCAGAGATCAAAATAAAAGACTTAAAGTTCTCTGAAGTCCTTCATGAAAAACGGTGTTTTAGCAGAATGATAGGTTATGCCACTACAGGTTCTTTGAAATGCAGATTAAACATTTTGCCAGGTAAAGTGTTTTCCAGCTCCAAAGATTTGGACAAAATGTGTTAGGACCAAGTTTGCTCTCTGAAAGCCCTATAATTTTCCTATCTGTCTTCAAAGCTCTTGGGATTTGATTCTAACCCTGTTGCTAGTGTAGGTGTAATTCCTTTCTATTCATTGTAATTTGAAAGATGAAGTCTTTTCCTCTCCTTTCCTTGAATGCAGCAAATGAACAGGGCCAACATGGATCATTTCTTCTTTCTTCTTCCAACATAAATTTCACATAAGATTTCTCTGTGTCAATACAGCCTATAATCCCTTCACTCAGTAACTATTTATTTGATGGCACTAAGAGGATGCAAAACAAATATATCACAGCATCTCTAAAAGATTTGGACAGTCTTTTCCAGCCTGGCACCTTGAAGATGTGCTTGGATTGCAGTTCCCCAGATCCATAGTTAATATAAACTTTAGCTGTTCCAGCATGTGTGGAGGAACCAGGGGTGGGATTCAACTGGTGTTACTACCGATTTGGTGATTATGTTTTGAGCATGCATGCGCAGTTTGCATGCATGCGCACCTAACACGCACTGCACACATGTGTACAAAACCTTAACCTGTGCTGCCTGGACAGCTAAAAAGCACTGTGTGTGGGTGCGCAGCATTTGAAAAGCCACTTTTTTCCTGCTTTTTCAACCTCAGCTGTGCCGCGCAAAACAGCTGAGGTTGAAAAAGCAGGAAATAAAGGACAGGTAAGAGCCCAAGCAGGCGGGTGGACCAAACAGCAGCAGACTCAGAACCGGTTCTGTGTCTGCTGCTCTTCAGAGCTACAGGTTCTATAGAGCTGGGCAGAACCGGTAGCATCCCACCCCTGGGAGGAACCCAAGCTGGGTTCGAGGGAGCAAGGTTGGTGGGAGCAGGAGTTGGAAGCCTTCGCGTGCATTTTGTTGTTGCCTTACAGGTGGGATGGAAGACAACTCGTGAATACTTCACATTCATGTGGGCCCCTGAGCCCAGATATTCTGAGACTGGCTATGCTGAACCACAGCAGGTGGTTTTTAAAGGTCAGTGATGGGAAGGGAATTGGTGGGGCAGTTTTGCAACAGGAAACCTGTTGGAGTAATCGTCGCACTCCTATCTCCTGAAAACCAACCTTGCATATAGTGGCACTGTGGCATCCTAAATGAGTTGATTGATATCTAGACTTTATTCACTAACAGTCTCTTAAAAAGAACCTGTAAAACCAATTGCTGGGTTTATTAATTTTATGACTTGTATTATTATTTGACCAGAGTAAGAGTTAGTTGCTGATAGGATTGTAAATCATCCTCCAAATCCTGTTAGCATCTCTCATCTTTCCCTTACTTTCTATAGAAGATAAAAAGTATGATTTCACCTAGTGCTAATAGAATTACTTGTTATACATGCTATATGGCTGGTACTTCCTAGCTTGGTAACTTTTACCACTGGAAAGAAAAATGAAAGCTGTTTCTTGGGAAGTGATTTGTAGTTCAGCAAAAAATTGTGTCCTGGGAAATCTGGTGATATCATTTGTTCACCGCTTCAGCTATGACTATGGTGAGACATGAGCCTGAGGTATGAGAATATGAGACTGAAGTCATAAAAAAGGAAGAAAAGAAGGATGGGTGCACTAGACTTAATTTTATTTTATTTAAGTGCTAGGCTTAATCTGGATAGGATTTCAAAATCCTTGTGCAAAAGACCCTGACAGATATCTACTTAGAACTGTCAGCTTTGTCACTTGGGGAAGAGAGAAATTAGTTGTCAGCCTTCCTTTTGTTTGGCATCCAGCAGATTATCTCTGAAGGGTAAGCCATAACTAAGTGTTAGATAGGTAATTTTTGTATTTTTCTGAGTGATCGAGACTCTAAACATGGAATGTGGCTTTTTTTTCTTTCAGGCTACTATCTGCCAAAGGATGATGAGTATTATCAGTTTTGCTATGTTGATCAAGATGGGCAAATCAATGGGACCAGTCACCCTTTTCAATTCCGTACTGAGGCTAATGATGACATACTTGTCATTACTAAAGAGGTTAGTTCCCTTTCTTAAGTCCTAAACCGAATAAAGGCTTGTAGGAATGTGCAGAATGGGTTAGGGTGTTAAGGTCTTCAAAATGTGTGGCTCTAAGCATAAAACAGCTGTTTGAGTATTTTGGAAGTGTTTCATTGGGAATTGAAACATCCCCAATCCACTTCAGATAGTTTCACATTGGAAACAGTTGTTTCAAGCCTTAAGGGAAGCATTTCAAAGTCAGAGCAGGTTGAAAACATTTTGCATTCTTATAATGGTTTGCCTGAGATACAGTAATCTGCACCCATCAAATGAATGCTTTTTTTTACTTTATTCTTTGTTTAAAATACACCCTTTTGGGGAAAAGAAAATCCTTCCAATCTGGCTTCCATTATAGCAATTTTTTTTAAAAAAAGTAGATTCCATACAATAGAAATGGGCAGCTGGTTGATTGGAGTATAGAGGTCTGCACATTACACATATCTTGACAGAGAAAGGTATTTCTTCCACCTTATCTATAATCTGATCAGCTTGAGTAGCAAAGAACTGGCAGGCCTCTTTTGTCTCTCAGTGCTACTGAAATTGAGATATAAAAACCATAAAACCATCAAGCACTCACATAGAAATATCCAATAGAGTAAAAATATGTTTTTAAAACTAATCAAAATTAATACTAAATATATGTAACAATTTGATGAAATAATTGTAGGGTAAAGGCATTGAACATACATACAGAACAGAATGTATGTTAATGTACAGCGAATTCTCATACCTTTGTCAGGGTGCAGCATGCTAACATGGGAAGTGGGAAAAGGGTTAATCCATATTATCTCCATGGCCTCTTTGGTTAAACTCTTGCTAGTATGTATTCCCATGTAATCTTTATTTAGACAACTGGGAAAGTTTTTTGAACACTCATTAATGTATACATTTTAAAAAATATTAGTTTAATCTACTTCTGAGCACAAAGGAGATGGAAAAGCAACATTTAAAATAAGTAGAATGAATCATCAGCATTTCTTATGGTTACAACAGTAGGAATTCAGATACCGAAGGAATATTTTTAGTTTTTTTTTTTTAATCCATCTTTTTCAGCAAAACTTTGTATTATCAGACTGATTCCAGTAGTGGCTGCTTATTATAAGAATGGACACAAAAAAAGACTTTGCTGAGATGTCTTAGCAGTTTCCACTGTTTGCATATATTGGGTGACTTACCTTAAATTAAGTAGTACATCGCATTTATAAAAATAAAATAAGTTAAATTATTCTATCTAAAAAATGTCAGAGTCCCAGTAATTCAAACAGCTAGTGCTTCATCTGTGACAGATGATAAAATATGCAAATAATGCTTACTAAGATAGTGCAGCATAGGGAAGCATGGTGACTAACTAAAGTGATCTTCTATTTTTTATTGTTTAATATTTCAGAAAATGGATCCGAGGTGGTTTGACCAAATTAGAGAGATCAAAAACATCCTTAATGTACTGTTTCTGTTGACACAATTAGCACTGCATGTAATCAAAGACTAATAAACTCAGGACTTATTACAAATACATAATATTGGTAATATAATATATAATAAACATTTAGATCAGAAAAACCATTTGTATCCAGAAGGATCTAGCATACCTCTCCAGAACATATCAATACCATGCACTTTGGTTCTTTTGATTTTGGTTTGCAGGGAGAAGTGGAGAAAATACAGCAGCAAAATGCAATGTTGCTTCAAGAAAACAAAAACCTGAAGAAGAACCTGGCAAATCTCCAGGAGCAGAATATGCATCTACAAGAAGAACTTGTGGCAGCTAAGGTAGGAACCTTCTCCAAAGCATAACAAAACACAACTACGAAAAAGAAAACTGAATGCATTTAACTAGTGTTTTCTTCCTGGAATGATATAGAGTTTACAGTCTCCACAGAAATTGCCTTAGAGGAAGGTAGAAATAGCTATGTGCTATTCAAAGTGCTAAGAAAACAATCCACCCAGATTGGGGAGAATCTGGAGGAAAGACCATTGTCGATTACTATATAGACAATGTGTATTGGTTTAATATCCAGGCTACTAAAAAAGGAGGCATGTAATACTATGCAGTTCTTTTTAAAAATGCAAGTCTAAAAAATAGAAGGAGGACAAATTATGCAGAGGTTAGAAAAAGTTGGTGGAATCCTAGTCCCTAAGATAATATTGATGTTAGGACACTCTGGATGTATGTTCAAAGAAAAATAAAGGAGCTTCGGAACACAGGATATTTTGATGGCTGAGACCATAGTGCTTTAAGAATTGTCTGAATTTAGAACTAGGTTTCCTTAGAATTAATTAGCTTTAATAATGAAAGCTATAGAAAAACCGCAAAACAAAGAGAAATGAGAACCCACTGATTATTCACTGTAGAATAGCTAATAGATTGTCCCAAAATACAGTAAGGTGACAAGGTTAAAATATAACTATATGCTAAACAAGTAAAACAGAAATGTCAATTACTCTTTTCTTATCTATGACATTATAATAAATGGAAATATTTATTATTTGTTTTCTGCCCTGCAACTTCAGGTTCTTCAAGATAAAGTGAACTCTTTAGAGAACAAATGTGAGAAATTTGAATCCCAAATGAAAGATCTGGAAAAGGAGAAGTATGCCATAAAGGACGACCTGATGCAGTAAGTATTTATTTTTCCTCCCAGAGATAGCTGTTTCAGACACAGCACTAAGTAAACCTTTAGTGATCAAAGCCTAGGGAAGCCTTGGATGCATGAAATCCCTGTTTTCTTTTCAATGCAGCTATAAAAAATTTTTTGGAACCCCTTAATTCTGTTTTCAATATTTTATGTTATGTGTGGAAACAAATGCAAAAAGAAAACAAATGAAACTGGGTTGTTGTTTTTTTAGTAGATATAGTTTCGCTATAAGACTAATAACACTATAACATGAATATTGTAGTTAAAAACTTTATTCTCTGGGTTGCAGTGGAATTACTGGCTAAAGGAGAGGGGACCCTCTACGGGGAGTTAAAAGATATTCCAACTTGGAATTGGTTCGGGGGAGGAAACATCTAAGGTTAAACCTATAGGGAAGGCAGATGGTTTGTTTATAATATGCATGATCAGCAATAAAGTAGCTACTTGGGGCTGTTCATGGAATGGTTCTGGTTATTTCCACCTGACATTAATCTTGCCAGACTCGGCGCTTCTGGGAATGAGAAAACAACGGATATGGCAGCAGAATCGCAAGCACTTGCTATGTCTTCACAAGAGATGGTGAACACCTTACTTCTACATCAACATGAAGTGGAAGCAGAAATGAGGAAGTTACAAGCAACGATACTTCAATTGGTCCAGCCATTGGTGGTCCCAATAGCTCTGGTAGAGCAACCGGTCTCCTCCCATAGTGGTTTGCCAGAGAAATTTGGAGGAGAAGCAGACAAAATGAAAAACTTCATTGGTCAGTGTGAATTGTTTATGGGAACCCGAGCTGCAGAATTTCCAACAGATCATGCAAAAGTATCTTTTATATTGAGTTTGTTAAAGAAATCCGCAGCCAAGTGGGCACAACCAATCATAGAAAGCAATGACCCAATAATGAACAACTATCAAAACTTCATGGAGAGATTCAAAGCGTATTTTGGAAATCTGATCCAAACAGTCACAGCCAGTCAAAAGATTCAGCAGCTTAAGCAGGGCAACAGAAGAGTGCAGTTGTACATTGCTGATTTTAAATTATTGGCAGCGGAGGCTGATTGGGATGAGTCAGCCTTGATTGATCAGTTCAAGCTTGGTTTGCACAGTGAAATTCAGAGTGAGCTGGCAAAGCAAGGAGTTCCACGGAATCTAGATGAGTTATTCCACAGTTGCTTGCTCATAGATGCCCATTTGGAAGAATTGAAATGGAAACAGGAGACATCGTGCAGGCCTAAGGTTAAATCAAATTTCATGAGGCCCCCTCTCTTTCCTCTCGCCTCAACCAGTAGGCAGGTGGAAGAGCCGATGCAGTTGGAGACAGCCAGAAGAATGGCCATTGCTAAGGAAAGACAAAGACGACGGGATGCAGCGGCTTGCTTTTACTGCGGCAAATCAGGGCATATCGTCAGAGCTTGCCCAGCCAAGGAGCCATGGAGAGAGAGCTGGAGAGCTGACCAAGATGCAGAACAGCCTCATTCCTCTCATCAATCACCAATTTAAGGAAACAACAATGGCCCTTCTCTCAAGAGCTCACAGAAGGGACCATTCATCTTGTAAAGAGAGCTCATGTTAGACCATAGTACACTCTTGATTGTTTCTCTCAAATTATCTTTTGACTCTGGGCACTGATCATCTTAGGGACAGCATGGCTAAAGCTACATAATCCAAGAGTAAATGGGGAGAGGAGAGCAACGTCATTCCTTTCTCCAGCCTGCAGCACAATCTGCAGTTTTCCACTGGATACCCTGAGGTAGAGGGGCTTATATAGCCAAGCCATGCATGCCACTTTTGCAGACATTTTGGGAGGAGATGAGGCTTCAATCTTCACCCTGTATTATGACTGTAATATTGATCTGAAACCAGAGATAATATCCAATATTAGCAAAAAAAAGCTTTCAGTCGAGCACTTGTATTCAAAATTAGAGAAAAGCCCTTCTAAATCACTATCTTCAGTACCTACTTTTTTTGTTCCAAAGAAGCAGGAGGCAGATATTCCAAACTTGAAGGGAGATGTTCCGATGCTTAGAGTCCACTATTACAAGAATCTCAACAATGTCACAATAAGAGATCGTTTCCTGCTCTCAGATTTGATGGGCAGATTATAGAGGGCTCACATATTTACCAAGCACTTGGGATCTTCAGAATGTGTATAATCTCGTTATAACAAAGACAATCTTTGATACCAAGTTATGGAAAGTCCTCAACTTACAACCATCCATTTAGTGACTGTTCAAAGTTACAACAGGACTAAAAAAAGGGACTTGTAACTGTTTTTCACATTTATGATCACTACAACACCCCCATGCTCACATGATCAAAATTCAGTCGCTTGGCAACTAACATGCATTTATAACTGTATTGTGGTCATATGATCACCATTTTTAACTTTCTCATTGTTTTCCCACAAGCAAAATTAGTGTGGGAAAGCAGATTCACTTTATGACCAGATGATTCACATTACAGTTGCAGAAATTTGCTTAATCACTATGGCAAAAAGATCGTGGAATGGGCCAAAAGTTAACAACTGCCTTGCTTATCAACTGAAATCTGGGGCTTAATTGGGGTTTGTAATTTGAGAGATTACCCATGTACATTTTGGATTAGCTAGTTGTGGAGTAGTATTTTTTAGATTCATGAACCAATTTTTCCCCGGATACGACACATTTGCAATAATATATTTGGATGACAACTCTATTGGCTCTCAGAATGCAGAGACGTGTGCAGCATTTTAGGGAGATGTTGTGAAAGCTACAGGAGAATAAGCTGCTCGTGACGCTTGAGAAATTCATCTTTACCCTCCATCAATTGGACTACTTAGGCTATAGGATTTCAACCAATGGTCTGCAGATTTACTAAGATGCAGGCAGTGCTATATTTGTTGCCCAGCCCTCCTATTCTGTAGGCCGAATATCTTCAATTGCAATAAGCACCACCCTGCAAGGATTTTATAGTCTTGCAACTTTAGTCAGCACCAGCAAATACTAGCAAAGAAATTTGGGGACAGGATAACAGGTTCAGGATTTATTTACAAGAATCAAGACATAGCAGCAGCTAGACCCATACATTCAGGCTTGGATGGATGACCACTTGGGGACTCATCAAAGTACATTATCTGTTTTTGGTCAAAGATGGAAAATCTGCAGCATAAAGATAGGATCTTCATGCTTGTACCTTTTAAGGGAGGATGTGCTGCAATTTTGAAATGGTACTGAGACGGCTGGACAAGACACTGCACAGAACCTTAAGAGACTTTGGTGGCCCAGGATGATGTAAGAATTAAAGACAAGTGTGCCAAAGAGACAAGCCTCTAAAAATACCCCCTCCCAGCCTTGGCATACCGTATCATTTGACTTTAGAATAGATTTTCAACCAGTGCAGGTTATATAACCATATTGGTGATGGAGGATCTCTTCACTAACAACCAGAAGTTGCAGTAGTATTTGAGATGTTGTTGTACATACAGCCAACACAGTTGGCCATCATTTAACCCATTAGCCAATTTTGTATATAATAATTCTATCCATACATCAATTGCAACGACCCAATTCCAGGCCTCATGGAAAACACACACGGGTTTTATCTGCAACCTCACACTAGGGTTGCATCCCTGGGGCTTGGATTTTCCAGAGGAGCAATGCACTGCTCAGGCACTGTTGAAAGAGCAGCTAGACAAACTGTCTTCCAACAGGCCCTTAGATACACACAACAACAATATAAAAGACTCTGGCAATTACAGAGGAGGACAGTGTGTGACTTTCTACTACATTTTAAACTGATTCCACACCCTCAAAAAAGCTACACACAAAACTTGGGGGCATTTTTAAGGTACTATGATAGGTCAGTTCTATGGACCTTTATTGGCAATTGCCACCATCTATCAAAGTGCAGCCATTTTCATTCTTCATTGATGTTGAAGGAGGCACTCTGTAGTTATTGGCAGCCTCCACACATGGCTTCCACCCATGAACATTGAAGACCAAGTGAATTCAAAGTGAGGGAAGTATTAGGCAGAAGAAAAGAATATAGTGTTTGATTCACTAGAAGGGCTACCCAGAAACAGAGCATTTGTGAGAAAATGCAAAATACATGGATGCTCTAGAATTAATAAAATTTTCACAAGTGCTTCTCAAGCAGATTCAGATTTACAGATAATCAGAGTTGGAAGGGACCTTGTAGGTCATCTAATCCAACCCCCCACCCAAGCAGGAGACCCTACACCATTTCTGACAAATGGCAATCTCTTCTTGAAAGTCTCAAGTGATTGAAGAACTTCCATGCTCCCAGTACCAGCTTCAGTCCTGAGCCTGAGGAGAACCAGTGAGTGAAGGGGTTAACTATTCAAGGGTACTCTTTAGGGAGAGACATGAGACTGGCAGTTTGTTGTGGGGACTTGTTGTTCAGTTGTTCAGTCTTTTAACTGTGGATCTTCACTTTCTGAGGGAAAGGGAGGGGGAGGACCCTTCTAATGCTTTAGATATTTTGCAGGGAGAACCACCTAACTGGGAGAATTCCTCAGACTTGGAGGAGGAAAGCTCTTCTTACATGTTATGCTATTGCTGTCCCCATTGTCCAGTTCCCAGGAGACAAAGAAGACAAAACGTAGGAAAGAGGGGGGTTGTTTAGAGAGGAGGACAAGATGTGGTAGAATCACCAGATGAAGGAAACAGGTCCCCTCTAGAGGAGTAAAAAACATTCTAGCTTCAAGTCAATTTTAAGGAGGAAAGCCTTAGATCTATATCTGCCATTTCCCAAGAGAAGGCAGAGAGGCTGGCGAGATTCTTGTAATGTGGGTGATCAGCAGTAAAGTATCTACCTGGGCCTCTTCATGAATCTTTCTGGTTACTTGTACTTGACCAATATCAATAAATACTGCATTTGCATGCTATCTGCATTTATAGTATAATTTTTATCCTCTGAATTATCCAGAAAACTGCTGTTCTTGGCAGTATTTAAATGCAATAAAGAATAATAATCTCTTATACCTATTTCCAAACAGGATCAAAGAAGAGAAAGAATCTGTATTATCTGAGAAAGAAAAGATGGAAAGCCAGCTGAAAACCACTTTGTGCCAAAAAGAAGAATTTCAAGTGAGTTAACAACTCTGGGATCTTTCTTAAGGGTTTACAAGAATTGCTTCTGACCACGTTGTCTCCAGATATGTCAGCCAACTTGACCAGCAGTGCAGATTCTGTAGCTATTCAACAACCGGGGGGAGTGGGGGGGGGAACGTCCAACAGCTCCGAACACCATTTTCAGAGGATAGAGAGTAGAGGATTTCTAAATAATCTATACATACAGAAGATTTTTGTTTATTTTCTACTCGCCTTAGCTATTGAAAGAGTTCAATCATTTTATGGCATTAATCAAAACACCTGCCAAAATGGTCAAGGTTTTCTAGCTTCCATATCTCTCAGGATTATAATTTCATAATTATCAAATTTGGAAATTTTACAGCTGTCATAAAACTTTGAGCCTGATTGTCTAATGTTCCTTTTTTTGATCTGCATTTGGAAAATGATATACCTCTCTCCCTTTTTTTAGTTACAAGTGCAAATTCAAAAGAAGGAGATAGACAACCTGCAGGAGACAATTAAAGATAAAGCAAAGCACCTGAAAGAATTGAAGGGAGAGAATTATCTATTAAATGCTGCCTTGTTTAGACAGGTAATTTTCCTGCATTTTTTTTCTTTTCATATATACTTTTTAAACCTTAAATAACTTTAAATTTGCATTCTTCACTAAAACAGCATTATTAATCTAATGAAGCAGTCCCTCCATAGAGATCCTATTCTCCAGATAATCTAGCTGCTGCAGATTGATGCATGCTTTTCCAACTCTGCAAAAAGTTTCCTTGGAATTTGCCACTTCACTATAGTTTATCACACCACCTTTCCTCCCATAGATATAGTCAGTCATGGAGACAAATTTCCTTGGATGGTATATAAGAATGAAAACAATTATTTGCCTCTAAATTCCTTCTCGGTTGCCCTGACCTCCCTCAGCATTTTGTTGTTGTTGCAGACTTCAGGCACCGCTGTCAGATTATAAGCACCCAGAAAATGTTTTGTCTACAATGGACTCAAATTCACCATAATTCACAATCATCGTTTTCTGAAGTGCACAATATGACGGCAGTGGCCTTCCATAGACTAACCTTGCAGATGTCTGTGGTTGACTGTGTCTATGCAGTAAGAGTTGGTGTGATAGACTATGCTGACGCACTTTCTGCCCAGGGGAGGAAAGGCAGTCAAAAGGGTGAAGGCTCACAGTTCTACCATAAGGATTTTTCTATTGGGCCAAGAGGGGGAAGGAGAATTTAGCAAACAAAGCCTCTGCTAAAAGTAAAGAAAGAAACAAGAAAGAAAGACAGGAACGAAGAATTAGTTTGTTTAACAATAAGAAGAAAAATATAAGCCAGACTTGGACAGTGGGATGAATGTCATAGGTTATATCATCCTAGGTATAGTTTTCAGTTAGTCCTTAATTCAGCATCTGTGAACATTTTAGTTTGAGGCTCCCAATCTGTTCAATATCATTGTTTTCCTTCAGTGCCTAATTAAGGAGAAAAAATGAGAATCAACTATGGCAGAAATTTTGAGCTATGTTTGGAGGATAATCCACATTGTTTTGACTTTCTCTGTATATACTGTTCATTAAAACATTTGATGAACTTCTTTCTCCAGTTTTGGACAAAAATACCCCTCCATAGCCATACCATTCTGTTATTTGCCCTATACTGAAGCTTGTCCTAAACACCTTGTGGTCCATTTCTCTTTAATTAGTTGTGTGTGTGTTTGTAGACATACATATACATCCATCCATCCACCTACTTGTCCTTTTATAAAAAAAATTCTCTCTCATAACTAAGTGCCTATTCACTTAGTTTATAAATCCTACTGTTAGAGAGTTTTGGTGCATATTTTAAACTGGGACAATTCTAATGTCTTCCTGTTGCCCACCACCCATTTTATTTGTGCCTAAAACGACAAAACCTCCTATCAGTGCTTGAGAACTATATAGAGATTCTTCAACTAGGGCACCCAGTGTGAATGCTAGCATCCTTCTGGAAATGCTGGCTTGTATAATAATTAGAGATGGAGCATGCCCAATTTAAATTCCCAGTCCTGAGACATAGTGGAAGATCTTGCATTCCATGTTATCTTTCAGTCTAATCTGATGCAGTCTAAACTTCCACATGGCTGCACTAAGAATGAATAGATCTTAACCATAAGTTCTAGTGGAAGAAGTATGAAATAAGAGTTTGGAGGTAGTGGTGGAAAAATGTTTACCATTTGCCTTTGGCTTCTAATTTTGCTCCAGTGTTTTTTCTTTTCTCAGCAAATGTTGAACAAGATCCATGAAGAACAAACACTTACACTTCAAATCCTGAAGAAGCAAAAAGATGATCTAGAGCAAGAAAATCAGGTGCAAACTTTGTCATATGGGAAGTGATGAGAGATGCTATTGTTGGATTATTGTGAAGAGGGCAGTATCGTACAATTAGGGAAATATAGAAGTTGCTTGGGGTAGCTTTTTATAGTCTTCTTGTGGCTGAAAATTCTGGAATTTTTAATTCCCAAACATTTCAAATACAGATTGGATAAGCCACGATTCTCAACAGGGAAGAGATCCTGACCTTTCCCATGAGAGGTGTGTTTGAGGAAGATATTATTAATTATAAATGTGATTGCTTATGAAAGAAAGCTTGTAAATAAAGCTTGCAATATTTTAGTACCAGGAAACATACAACCTAAAAGAGTGTGGATTAATCACCTAATTTCTCTAAAAAAATGTTGAATCATTAATTCATATCCATTGTTATTCCAGAAAACACAATAATAATTCACAAAGTATAGAGTTTCCCTGCCATCATTTTAATATTTCTTTCTGCCACTACTAATCAGCCTAATCTGGTATTAAAAAATAAAATGTTTAGATAGAACATTATGCTTAGTACAGTCTGCAGGTATGCTTCTTGTTTTCTTAAACAATAATTCAATCTTGAGCACCAAGCCAAATCTGTTGCTTTGCACATATATTACTGTGTAGATGTTTATAAAATGATTTGATTCTTTATCTTTACCTGTACTAGGGACTTCTTGGAAATACTATTTATGGCTGCACATGATTCCTTTACTAACACATTCCTTTATTAACAGTAACTCTCCACCCCCACCCCCCACCCCCATCTGCTTTGGCTTATCCATGAAAGTTTTTTATTCTGAATTGCCATTAAAAATTATTTTCTCATAGATTGATACAGATTTTCCAACATTGAGCACTAAAGTACCACTCGGCTTTTATTCCCCAATCCTTCTTGAACTGCTGGGAACCCATGGAACTTTAAGAGTCTATCTGTAGTGAACAGAAGACATGGTAAAAACAAAAACAAAAGATGTCCTGCCCTTGAGCTAACACAGATCCTGGAGCAAGAATAAAAAATCATGATGATTGAACGGTGCCATCAAAGGATGTGGGGTACCTCCTTCCAGGTTATTTCCCAGAAAGACAATAAAACCTCCCATAACAAGGAGGTTATTATGCCATCCCCTTATACAAAGAGAAATAAAATTAGTTCCTAATATCTGTACATATTTTCAATACATGTTGTGTCCATTAGTCTGATGATTTGAAACAAAACGAAGTGGTCCTTATGAAGGAAAGTTCCTTTACTCTGCAGTGCAATATTCTACAATATTGTTGCAAATTATAAAAAGTTAAATTTAGTATTTAGTATTTTTTTTTTGTATTTATTTGATTTGTCAATCGCTTACAAGATACAGGTGTAAGAATAAATATAGCTTTGAATACATGAGATAGATACTTATAAGAAAAATAAAAAACAATAGGATAGTGATGGTAGGCACGATTGTGCACTTATGCACGCCCCTACAGGCCTCTTAGGAAGGGGGTGAGGTCAATAGTAGACAGCCTAAGGTTAAAGGTTTGGGGAAGAAACCACAGAGTCAGGTAGAGTATTACAAACATTGACCACTCTGTTGCTGAAGTCGTATTTTCTGCAGTCAAGTTTGGTGTGGTTTACCTTGAGTTTGTATCTATTGTGTGCTCTTGTATTGTTATGATTAAAGCTGAAGTATTCATTTGCAGGTAGGACATTGCAATGTATGATTTTATATACTATATTTAGATCGGACCGGAGGCAGTGTAGTTCTAGGTTTTCTAGATCTCGAGTTTCAAGTCTGGTGGCATAAGGTATTCTGCAACGAGAGGAGCAGAGAATTCTTCTTGTGAAATATTTCTGGACTTTTTCAATTGTGTTAATATCACATATTATGGGTTCCAGACTGATGAGTTGTATTCAATATAGGTCTAGCAAATGTTTTGTATACTCTAGTGATATTACCAGAGAAGAAGCTACGTAGGATTACATTAACAACTCTTAATGCCTTTTTGGCTATGTAGTTACAGTGGGCTTTAGCACTTAGATCATTTGAGATGAGTACTCCAAGATCCTTGACAAAGTTTGGATCCTCAACAAGGTTTTGACTATTTAGCTTGTATTTTATTTTCTGATTTTTTTCTGCCAGTATGTAAGATAGAGCATTTATTTGTTGAGATTTGAAGTTACCATTTGATTGACTATTCTGATACATAGTCAAGGTCTTTTTGGAGGGTAGCAGTATTGTCTGTGGTGTTGAACAGCTTTACATCATTAGCAAAGAGAACGCAGTTGCTCTTAATATGATCACATTTATGTAGAGTATGAAGAGAGTTGGTCCTAAAACACTGCCTTGGGGGACACTACTATTGACAGGTACAGAATTTGATAGGACATTCCCAATTTTGACCATTTGTTGTCTGTTTGAGAAGAATGCTTTTATGCAGTTATGTAGGTGTCCAGAGATACCATAAGATTTTAGTTTTAGTAGTAGTTTCTCGTGTACCACTGAATCAAGCCTTTACAGAAGTCTATGTAGATTGTGTCTATTGCTTTGCCCTGATCATGTTTGTAGTCGATATGCTATTGCAGTGTAAGGATTGCAGATTACATGGTAGTTTTCTTCTGAAACCAAATTGTTTATTAGAGAGTAGGTTGTTTGTCTCTAAGTGGAGGATAATGGATTGGTTAATAATTGATTCCATGACTTGACAGGTGACGCAGCATAAGGAGATTGGTCTGTAATTTTCAACTAGGCTGGGGTTTAGCATTTTTATAACTCATTTGTTACAACTATGGTTGAATGTTGCTTCAGTGGGCAAGGGCGTACTAAATTTTATCTGTAGACACTGATGCTATAGGATGGAAGAGATAAGAAAAAGTAATGTGAGTTTTGGTAGCAAAAGGTGGGATAAGCAAAAGTTTCAAGTATGGAAGAAGAGCCTGCTTATAAGTGCTGCAGTATTGCAAAGGGTGGCATCCAATTTTGCTCAGGTTTCAAATCACTACAGAACAAAAAAAAAATTTTTTTCCAGTTCCCTGGATCAACTAGCTGTACGAAATCAGAAAAACCTACAGCTGCTTCTGAACTGTTGCAAATCTTTGTGTGGATGTTCCCACTGTGAAACTATGTTATGGGACTGGTGAGAAACCAACTTCTGTGTGCAAGCAGTGAATTTTGTTGCTATATTTCAGATAAAAACAACTATTCCTGGGCCCAACTATCTATATATCATAACTTCCAAAGTTACTGGTTTTTGCATTTTAGCTTTTTTTTTTTTTTACAGAAATTATGGCAAGAAAATGAAGACTTGAAGGCAACCATCCGTGAAATACACAGTTCATCTGCTGGACTCCCATCCCAGTCACCACCTAATTCTGGGCTCTTGTTTGAAAATCCATATTCTGGTGAGTGCCCTTTGCCATCCAGTTGGGGGGTTCCAACTAGCAGCAAAAGTATGCTAACTGATAACCCAGTGCTGGGCTGTTTAAAAACACGTAATTGCTCAGGTGGTCATTGCTCAACTTATGGCTGTAATAGAACCTGTTCATTATTGACATAAGTCATGATGATCATAAAGTTGGTCATCAGGTGACTGACCCGATTTTATGTTCCTTTTTTGCAGCGGTTGTTAAGTGAATCCATGGTTGTTAAGCAAATCCATTGTTCACTATGGGATTTTTGCCAAAAATCAAAAGCAAACAAAGGGTTTTGGCAAAACTTCGTAAATTGCAGGCACTTGACCCTGAGACGCTGCAAATGGTTGTATATGCAAGCCAGTGGCCAAGTACCCAAAATGAGGTCACATGACTGTAGGCAGGAGCAATCACTGAAATCAAGTTATAACTACCTTTAGTTATAACTAGGGGTGGTGGTGTTCCATGCTAAGTTTGAACAGTCACTAAGCATAAGTGAAGGACTGCAGTACCAAATTTTGCAGTTATGAGAAGTGCTACTTCTTTTGGATATGCTATCTTTTGCTGAGAAATAGTAACAATGCCCTGAGACAGACGTTGGCAGATTCTGAGTTATAACATCCAGATAAGATGGAATAGATTATGTACTGGCAGATCTTACAAATCTGATATTCAAATGTATAGACTCCATGACTGATTTCTGACATCACTGTTCCTTCCCTACATCACACAGTATTTTGAAATGTCACTGATACTATATATTAACATTAATGAACATTAAATAATTCATGTAAATTAATTAATATTAAAGTGATTTACTTTTCTCAGTATGGTTTTGTCTTACAGCATCACCAAAAATTGTTCAGACGAATCCGGTGAGTTTTCACTTTTAATGTCTTTATTATTGAGCACAATGCAAAAAAAACCCTGAAACCACCCAGTAAAGACAATGACACAGTGAAGAGAAGTCAGAGAAAACAGGGAAAAGATACGTGATTGTTGAAGCCGCAATTGTTGGTTATAGTCATTATCCTATCCCTATCTCTTGGTACTTTAAACCAGCCTTGTTTAGAATTAAAGGAAAGGCAGACTGGTGCTGTGGGTCCTTAGTCACTTAACATTTTGCACTTGTTGTTTTGAGGTATCCATCTCTTTTTTCTCTGCCCACTCCATCACTTGCCAGAATACTACAGAATAAAGCCTTCCCATCCCTTTAACATAAATGTACTGTATATCATGCAATTGCAAAACAATTCGGGGGGAAAACAAACTTTTCCACTGTCTTCTTTCAGGTCTCTCTGAAAAAGTGTCCCATATGCGAGGAAGTCTTCCCTAATGACATTGGACAACAACAATATTTGGATCATGTGCAAAATCACATTCTCGATTGTCCATATTGCAATAAAACCTTTGACAGCTCCGACAAGCAAGTGTATGATGACCATGTCTTTTGCCATCGCTTAGACCAGGCTTAAGCCTGCTTGCATCACTTGCCCTAAACTATTACACTAATGCCTTTTTTATTTCTTTCCCCCACTTTTTCCATTTCTCTCCTTTGTATGATTTGGCAGGGATAGATACTTGATCTGCTAAAATTGACATATCATTGGGCCTGAAGTGCTGATACATGTGTTAAATAATAGATTATGCTGTTGCTTTGGAAGCAGAATTTTCCATATTTAAATCTTATATTTAAAAATAAGATGCTTCCTCCCCCCCCCACCCACCCTAAATCTTCCATGAATAATGGATCATGTTCATGATAAGTAGAGATTTCTAGCTTTGCTAGAAAGAATATCTCTAGCATATGGGCTCCAGCACAAGTCTGAAAGTTTGGGAGAGAAAACCTCTGGTCCCTCAGACTGGATCCTACAACATTATCCTGGGACACGTATATTCACCTTCTTTTGTGATTTCTAGCTCTGCCTGTCGTAAAGAATAAAAATTGCATTTTTGCTTGCTTTGCTTGTTTTATGCCTGTTTAGGCAAAGCAACAATGTGCCATAACTGTTGTCAGGGAGCTCACTCTCATATCAGAAAGTTATCTAAAGAATGAACCCAATTTTTTAATGACATTGAGATTGATAAAGGCACTGACAAGTTTTCACCAGTATTGTCACTGTATGGAAAGGATTAAATAAAAAAGAATGTTTTTTTAAAATAAAATATTAATACTTTTTAGGGCTTCAGCATAGTCAATTTATTGGATTCTTCAGATTGGACTGTAGTATCATATCTCCAGCATTAAGGAGTTGCAATAATCTTATAACCAGAATCTCTTTATGATAATGTAGAAATGTGCTGTTTTGTTGAAATTTTTCTTTCTATATGACTGGATTGTCAAAAGACCACGCTTATAATTAAGAATACTGCATTAGAACACAACACATGCGTGGAATTCCTTTTCTTGAGAAATCACAATATTATTTTTTAGTTTAACTGTGCACTTTCTACTCTTTAAGACTGAATACTGTAATAGAGATAAGCTGTTTACATACAGATTATATACTATGTATTGATTAGCTAAATAATTAATATTATATGTAGCAAAATCTATTTTAGTAATATTTTTGTCTTTTAAGTTCTATTACTGCTTTATAAATTGGGGAAATGTTTTCCAGTTTGTAACAATGGAGTACTTACTCCATTGCCATCACTCTGCTAAACACCTCACTCTCACAGTGCTGTCTAATATCTCTATATATATTAACCCATATAGCATGGTTATAGTGTTATTATTTATCCTTATTTTCTTTACTTGCTCTTTTATTTACATTATGATGATTATGATTATTTTGCTTTGCATATACACCGAGTGCTTCTGTTCCAGAGACAAATTCCTTGTGTGTCTAATCATATTTGGCCAAACAGAGCATTTAATTTAATTCAGTTTAGATAATTAAATAAGTTTTGGATGATCTTTTCCAAGTACTTATTGATTACTTATTGAAAATATATCAAATTCTTTTCAGAATAGAGATATGCATATCCAGTGAATCCTATGTAGTCAATTCTAAATATTTTACCTTCTACTACTAAAGTTAATGAGACCATTTTACTACTTAATATATTAACTCAGATAATTAAGCATACCAGAAAAAACAGGATTAGTCTAGTTTCCAGAAGACACTCAGAAATAAATTAAACATCCTGCCTTATCAGTTGTAAAAGTAGTTTCTTCCTTTATATTTTCTGTTTGTTCTATGTGCCATCTGTTTCTTTTGATTAAGTTCTGTAGCTTCCTTGAAAATTTACTTTGGCTGTCTACACACTTGGCTGCTTTTACCAAAATAAAATTATTATCTGGATACTCTCTAATTGTTGGTCTTCCTTGGTGAGATTTCTACCATAGGAGCTGCATAAAGATTGTAACAGATGTGCTGTATAAAGATGCCTTAAGATATTTTGCTGCCTGAAGTAATGCCCAATATTTTATTTTCCCAGTTTCATATAGAGAAGCTGAATGGATTGGCAGTAGAATTTTTCCTCAATGACGCACAGATGTAAAATGGTTTACACAAATGAAATTGCAATAAACCAGTTTCTGACATATCCAGGTCTCATTTTTTAGCAATAGCTACTGCTTAGTAGTTCCAGGGCCTGTCTAATGATAAAGCCAATACTGCAGCATCCTGTTAGGAAATCACACACAAACATCTCTCTCTCTCTCACACACACACACACAATCAGCATTGTGACAGGATTGGAGAAGGTCTCATTTATCTATCCTTCCCACATCTGATTTGGGCAATTTCCAATCTGTAATAATATGAAATATGGGAATATACATAATTAACTTATTGGGGAACACCAAATATAAACATTTTCTTCCAGAGAAAAGAAGATCCTACTATCATTATGCAACTAGTTGAACTACTAATCCTAAATTCTGAGTTGGGGGGGGGGGTCCCTGGAATTATTGCAAGGATCTACAATATGTATCAAAAATGGAGAATAAAACAAGCCACATGGTTCTTCTGCTGACACAGATGCTTTATTGTCTGAAGTATAGGGAAGAAAATAAATACTAAACTGTGTTAGGAGGTAGATTCACAACTGATTTAGGCCAGTTCTCTTCTTCCTACTGGCTAAGAGTAATTTTTTTCAGCCTAGTTGCAATCCTGAACTGCCCATGGTTGGGTGGTTTTTTTTTTGTCCTATTACTAGCACAACTATCACCACTGCCCTCTACATTTCCTTGTTCTGCATTCCCTGCCCCAAGAGCTCCTGTTATCCCACCAAGGTTCTCATCTGTTACAATCCCCTCTTCTATTTTCTTCTTCCATAAATGTGGCATGCCACCCACCTTACTCCTTAGGTCATACCACTGGTTTCCTTTTCAGTCTCATCTGAGCACCAGCCTCACCAATATGCATTTTCCACCCCAAATTATTAACTTTTGTATAGTGAGGAAACTTCCATCGCCTATGCAATGACTGTGTGTTTTAATGGCGTTTCGTAAAATACATTGAATTAAAATTAAAGTTGAATTCATGTTAAGTTTTTATTATTTTTGTACTTTAGTCAACAGAGTCTGAAAGTTCTGCTAATGTCATATGGTACTCCACAAATATTTAAACATTCAGAAGGTTTCTTTGTGCAATTTGGGGAACTAGTGAGGTAGAATGTAGAGCTGAAGGAGTAATTAAAATTATTTTTAAAATTATATTGAATTTTCTTATCCCTATCTAGACATACAAAATGGTGGTGAAGGTGTTGGATTAGAAACAGACACTAAGTTCTGGTCCATCCTTCACAATAGATGCTTCCTAATGGTCTGGGATTTTTTGGAGAAAAATTGGTGAAGGAGCACTACATAATGCCACTTTGAACTCCTGAATGAAAGGTGGATATAAATCCAAAATGTGTTTCTGTGATACAGAAATGCATTTAGCAATGTTTTTATAGTCAAGGTGATAAAGCACAGGTTGGGATCTTCCAAATTTACTGAACTTCATCCAGCATACCTGAAGTTGTGCTGCCTGCTATATTGGCAGATGGCCTTCAAAATATATAGAGAGATACCCAATGAACTATCCTGTCATTGAACTCACACAACTTGATAAACCCTCATTTGCTAACCCCTGCATTAACTCATTATTATCATCCATAATATGCACAAAAAGTCATAAATTGTCAAATTTTACACTACACACACATATAACAAATATATCCCATCTTTGTTACTTTATAAATATCTCAAGGTGGTGAACTTACATAAATCATATCTCTTCTATTTCCCCATAACAACAATCCTGTGAGGTAGATTACCAAAGTTACCCAGAACTGCCTTTCATGTCTAAGGCAGGACTAGAACTCACAAATCTCCTAGTTTCTAGGTCAGCATCTTCACAACTACACCGAACTGCTGTTTATATATTTATTCCTACTTGAAACCTCAGAAGTATAAAATAACATCATTTGATAGTTTGAGATTGCTAAGATATGGGATAATTTGAAAATGGTTTATTACTTTTATAATCTACCTCCACCCAAAAATCATACAGTACCAGAAGCTGTGAATCCTAGTATAGCAGGAAACTGAATGATACTACTCTGCAGAGTTGTCATATACCACTCTCCCTATCAAAAAGAATACAGGTAGTCCTCAAGTTACAACTATAATGGAGTTGTCCATTGCCATCATAAGCCAAGAGAACATTAAGTGAATTATATTAAGTAAATGAGCCCTCATCCCTACCCCCCCCCCGCCCCATATATTCATCGTTAAGAGAACCCAGAGTGCCTCAGGAGTGGGGAAAACCAGGGGAGGAAAACTAGTGCAGGAACAAGACTTCTGGCCACCCAAGTCCTCTCCTCACCCATCCCATGGTCCATTTCTCACACCTTGAGGTCCCCATAACTGCTTGGGTCTTCACACCAACCCCGTCAACGATCGCTCACTTACCTTTTCAAAGATATCCAGAGTTCAAGATGTCGGTGTAGGAAAGGAGAACAGGTTGGCATTCCTGCATTCATGCCCCTCTGCTTTTTGCTAAAACACTTTTATGAAGGATTTGGGGCATGAAGGAATGTGAGATTTATCTTTGGCTGAATGCTATTGCAAAGAGAAGAGAAGCCTATAGGAAGAAGTTTGCTGTTGGCTGCATGCCTTCCTTCTCCCACTATTAATTCATAGTGTCTGTGCCATTACTGATTTACAGATAAATAACAATGAAGGGTTATATCCTTGTCCATTGACAAAATAACTTCCAAGGGTTAGAAACTCAGAAAATACCTTAAGTAAAACCTAACTTAGAAATATGAACTCCATTTGATGCTCCCATTTTAACATACTGGTAATTAATTACAGTTATACATAATAATGAAGTTTTGAATTATTTTAATGAGGCAACAATTATGTTGACAGGTTGTTTTAAGATACTCTTTTTTTAAAGAGATGGCTGAGTTCACACCATATCTTTAATTTGGTTGCCAAACCTTAATAATACAGTGAATTATAAATTAATTAAACAGGCTGGATTCATACAATATACTAAATCACACTAGCCATGATTCATGCGCAAGAATATGGTAAGTGTGTGTGTAAATTCAACCAGTATGCATGGCAATTATTACAAGCAGGGTTCATCCACTAGTTGCAAAAACAAGACAGAAATAATCTTTTGTTCTAAGTCTGCAGAAATGAAACTTTTTCGCCCCCTTCTGGATGTCAATGATTTAAAGCAAGAACCATAATCCGTTATGCCAAAAATCATTGTATATTCTTGGGATAACTTTATTTGCTGATATAAGCCAACATCCTGGAATCATTAAATAAAAGGTGGTGGCTCAAAAATGAACAGCTATCATCTTTGTTTTTCATGGATCTTTAAGCTAAAATCTGAAGAATCAATCTGATCTAATTGATGGCAATACATTAAGTAAACATGAAATTTAATCTGGGGGAAAGGGTTGGTTTAGGAACTAAATAAATTAATCACTGTTACATTGGAATGTAGAAAGTAGGCAAGCAGAAGATAAATTGTAAAAGAAACTACATTTCAGCTCGTCTTGTGGGAGCTTTAATATTCTATTAGACTATTTGCCTATTTTGGCAGAAACAATAAACTGCATCCCCAAATATAAGTACTCTTTCCAAAATGGTGTTACTTGCTCATACTGAACTCAAACAAATTCATTCAAGCTCTATTGATAAGTTATTTATCTTATAAAATCTTACACATTCATTAATTTAAAAAGCTTGGATAATAGTTGATATCAAATGCCCCTAATCTCTACCCATGCTTCAAAGAAGCCAGGAAATTGTATAGGTTTTGCAAGAGAGACAAGTATGAAACATACAGCATGGTCCCTTTAAATACTTTTGTTAAATGTCAGGATAGTGTTTGCATCAAACCATGATGCATGTCTATCATCATTTTGAGGCAATCCAAACTTACAGCAGTTCCCTATAATATAGGTAGTTTAGCATCTCCGTAAACTGCAAAAACTTGATCTGGTCACTGTTCTATGATGGTGTTACCAATCCCACTCACCTGCTTACATACGTTTCACCTTACTTTTTCAGGCTTACTTTGGAACTTTAGAGCTATGTGCCTAGGCCCTTGGCAGACATTCAACAAATGTGAATTCTCATCCTCTGAGACAAGAATGTATCCCAGGTGCCTCTCAATATGAGATAGTGCTTTCTTCAAATTCTATATACAGAAGAAATTCATCGGACATAAATCCAGCTGTTTTAACAATATGCAGCAACTTCCTACACATCTAATATATTTCTGTCTGGTGCTCTGTGACTTTTAGAACTGGAATAGTGTGGACTACAATTAAAGTATAAAAAAGTAACTAACTTTATAATTGATCACGAATGCCTTACACCAAAAACTTTTCTCCATAATTTACTAAACTTAATTATTTAATTGTCAAGTGTGAAAGATCAAATCCATGTGAAGGTCCAATTAAACTAGGTTAATCATAGTTATGTAGCAGAATCTTCTCAACTAACCTATCAACGATTAAAGGGGGTTGATTTATCATTTTGTTTAACTTTGCCTCCAGTTTCTGCCACTTCTCTTACTATTTCAACCTTCTGGTGCTTTCTTTTAACACTATTGTTTTGAGGAAGAGTCAGGAGTGAAGGCATTGAACTTTATTTTATGAAAAGATTGAAAAAGGTATCCAACCTACCAAAAGGTTATATAAAGTCAGCAAGGCTTCTATACTGAAATAGTTCTATTATAGCCAGTATTCATCAGTCAGCATTGGGGCTATGCACGCATCAAAAATATCTCAGGGGATATTTTTGGACCTTGCACAAATGCAGCACCTCACTCCTAATAAACTTTTCAGGGTTCCATATGGTCTTGAAAAAAATGCTCATCCTTTAAGGAAGATAGAGATAAAGCTAATGCAATTCTTAATGTGATACTTTTTTAAGGCTCACATAGAACCCTAAAAGGTGTGTGTGGGGGGGTATTTTAAAGAATAGTGGGAAGTCTTCAAAGCTAAAAGGTTTATTAGGGAAACAATGTCCCTCTCCCCTTCAAACTAACCAGCATCTTCCAAAAGAACATGAACTAAGAGCAGTAAAATGCTCAAGACCAAAGGAACATAAAATTAGTGATAATTTCCCCCCACAAACTTTAGCACTGTGTTTGGAATACTTCAGTGTTTAAGAAAAGTGAAGAATAAATGGTACATTTTACCCAAACACCAAAGAAGAAATACCAGTTTTGACATGCAATCTATTTATTGTTACATAAGTTTTTTATATGAGATGAAGCAAGGCTTCTACTTTAACACAACTAGAATTATCACAATGCAGCAGAAGAATTAACATGTTACTGATTCAAAATATAAACTTGGCCTCTTCTAAAAAGAACTCCAATGTTGATACTAGAGTCTTATTTATTAAAGTCTTTGAATTCTCAACTTGGTTCACTTTGAGGATGAAGATGATAAACTGCATTTTTAAAAAGTCCAAGAACAACTGATATTTAGTCCAACAGAGCTTTATAATGTATTCTATATTTGAAGAGTAGTCCCAATGTTAAAGAATGTTTTTTTCATATGGCCCATGAAGAGAATCAGGATTAAATGGGATTCAAGAGGCTTTTCGCAAGTCTCTGCTGCAAATAGAAAAAAGTTAAACAGAAAGCCTTGTGTTCTTCATATGTTGAATTCACATGGACCTCTTAGATTTGCGATATTCCTTCACCATTTCAGATAGCTTTTCCATAGCCTCAGGGATCCCTGCACCACTTACAGCAGAACAACCATGTATACGCCATTTGCGTCCAGTTATTTTATCCACTCCCATCCTTTCTGCCACTTCCATGGAAGGTCGTGCTTCAGGCAAATCTTGTTTGTTGGCTAGCAGCATCAAAGGCACCCCTCGCAAATCGTCAGCCTCCAATAGTGACTCCAACTCCAACCTGGCTTCTTCAAAACGATGATAGTCCATACTGTCCACAAGGAATATCAGCCCATCTGTATTGGTATGGTAATGTTTCCATAGGGCTCTGATATGCTCTTGCCCTCCAATATCCCACATAGTGAAAGTGACCTCGTTGAAGCTCTGAACTGTCTCCACATTGAAGCCCATAGTGGGGATGGTTGAAGTTTCTTCATTCGACTTCAGCTTGTAGAGGAGGGTTGTTTTTCCAGCAGCATCCAGGCCCAGAAGGAGAATACGAGCCTCCACCCCGTAGACAGAATCGTAAATTCGGCTGAATAAAAGCCCCATGGCTAGTTTAGCATAAGCAAGGTATGAAACAGAGGGGAAAGGTTTGCAATCTTATATTCAGCTAGCCTTCATTTCATTGGCTGCACGCTAGGGGGAGTGTGAAAATTCCTATTACAATACTAGCTTGTTGGAAGCTGACATGCTGGAAGTTTTGAAAAGTACCTATTTGACACAATTGTTGGTAGTTAAAGTAGCCATGTTATAATGACATCATGAACTGCTGCTTAGACTGTATTAACAAAACTGCTTCATTGTGATTATTAACACATATTCAGAAAATGATTGGGCAATTTGATACTTTTCATAACTTTCCATTAGAGTATATGTACCCATATGTACAGAGAGAGATTTTATGGCGTATTATTGCTATCTGACAAGTGGGAGTTCCATTTGGTGAGGTTTCTTTTTCTTCCTATTTTTTTTTTTATACACTTGCAAACGTAGTTCTCTAAAGATCAGTATCATAGTTATCTACTGCATGTGAATGAGTTGGTTAAACAAGGAGCAGCATTAGGAAACTGATACAATATTGTATCTATACAGATAGAAAAATGATATAGAAATGTAGATATTTTAGAATAAATTTGAATTGTGCTATATCTTAATTATGCCGTATCAATAGTAAAATATTCCTGTTTAGAATTAATCTGAATTTCAACAAGATTTACTTCCAATTAAGTTTATAAAGTACAATCTTTTTAAAAACTATTTTTAAAAAAACTAATAAGATTTTAAAATGTCAGACACTGCCTGCTTCATTTTGAAAGGTAAGACTTTTTAAAAATACATAGAAATGTCTGTGAAGTTGATTCAACAATGCATTACAATTTGATTTTAAGTATTATAGTGTCAAGCTTTATTTTTAAAAAAAAACAAATGGCAAAATAAGCAGAGAACAAGTGAAAACAGGAACATTTATTCAAGGCATTTAAATCATAATGCTGATTCTTGACATCTCCCAATTATGTGTATCTTTAGAAATAATTGGTCTGATGTTAATAAATATTCGATTGTTCATTTTTCATGCATAAGAGTATTTAGCATTCCTGCTATGTGTACCATGGGTGAGAAAAATATTACTGAGTGCGTGTTCCTAGCCCATAAAGGGTTTAAATATCCGACTATTAAGCAAAAGTAACATTATTTAAGAAAAGGAGCAGAAATGCCATATTCAACTATCGAAGAATCATAAGGTCATGATAGCTCCTATAAAATGACTATATATACACCAATCTATGGCAACAGTAAATCATAATTCATTGTGTTCGGGCGCTCGAAAAAGTTGAGAATTTACAAATATTCAAATTAGCCAGTTCTCTAGAAGCCATGATTGGTTACATTTCCAACTGTGATTAGATAAACGGAAAGGAGAAAGCAACTGCTCAAATCGCGCTAATTTTCTGCACCGGGAGAATGTACGGGAGAAAACACGTGAGAACATTCGATTGGAATCACAAGTACGCATGTGTGGAATTGGGATCAGGCGTTTGAATCTTTAGGGGAACGATGGGAAAGAGGGGGAAAAAAAGAAAAGAAATAGAATGCGCGCGCAGCCTCCGCGTTTGCTCTCGGGATTTGTATTCCCGGCTGCTGTTCGAATCTTCTCCTTGGCAACCATTTCTGCTCCAGCCTTTCTCTCCATGTCCGCATTTCCTCTTTGATGTCATCCTAATTAAAACAAAGAAAGAAAGGCATCCCGGGATTTAATTTGGACCAATGAGAAAGCGGGATGCTTTGTTCCTTTCAGATGAATTTAAGCAGAAGGAGTTTTTCGGGTCTCGGATTCAGTTAATCTTCCGATTGACTTGCAGTAGACAAGTAATAAATTCGATTGCTTACGGCTGGGATCGGTACAAATTGGGTTGAGACGCGGGAAAGGCAGGTGAAAGAGGGACGCATAGAAATAGGGTGATACAAAAGTGGGTCTGGGGGCCACGCCCCCTTTACAGAACCAGACCCTTTGCATTCCGTCTACCCCTCCCCCCAACCCACCGAAAGACCTGATTTTGGCGGCGGGGGGGGGCGTGCAGTTTATGGACGTTGGGTGCATTGTTTACTCTCATAGACCCTGGCGTAGGTTGCAATGAACGTCAAATATGCATTCGCGAAGTGCTAAATAAGAAATCCGTAGTGTGTATATGTACTCAGCAGTGAGTTCATTCTTTTCTCACGCTCTCCAAGGGGTAATAAACAATCCCCTCCCTCACTCCCCCCGGCTGGTCTCGGACAACAGAAATGCTCACTCTTTTCAGACAATGCAATTTTTAGCCAAAGCTGACAGGAAGTTATGAAAGAACGGGGGTCTCTCCCATCCCAGAATGCAGGGGAATAGAGGCAATGAAGAGTGGAAATGGAGAAGAAAAAGAGGGGAAGCCTTCCCCCCCTTTTCTTCTCCATTTCCACTCTTCAATCCCGAAAGCAACGGATTCTGCATTGTTACTCTGTACTGCCTACCAAAAAAGTTTGGTCTTTGTTTGGCCTCTTAAAATAAGGCACATTCCCTTCAAACGGCTTTCCACATACATGTCGCCGTTTCTGTCCCTAATTCACATATTTCTTTTTACTTAAAATGAAATGGTATTCTTTCCCAACAGCAGGCTCACACTGAGTTTTGTAACTTTGCAAACCACATTTTAACCTATCCTACAGAGAGCCTCCTCACATGGTTGGTTTATGATTTGATACATTATGCAAATTCTGGGAATTAGATTAATATACATTTAATCAAAGCTTATTGTGTAGGCACTGCTCTTCAAAGCTCCTTAGCAATCTGGATTAAATTTCCCCTTATTTATTCTGTTCATATTACCAGCTCATATTCTCTTTTCCAAAGATAGTTTCATAACCTTTTAAAATATTCTTTTTAATTTCCTAAATCACATTCAGCATCAATTTTCTTAAGCTCAATTAATTACAGTGACTCTTCCTTTTTTTGAAAAGCAGGACGTAAGAAAAACTCATTAGCCACAGTAACAAAAAAAAGAGATGGCTGATGTGATTACTGCTTTATCCAGAAGCAACATTATTACCATTGTTGCTTGCTGTCATGAAATAATTTATTTAATTGTACGGTAACTATAGTTAACTATATTTTAAATAATTACTTTAAGTTCTGGAAATATTTTGGGAAATCTATAAATATAAAGTAGCTGGGGAAACCATTTTAGGTTTCACCGGGTTTTTTGGCAACTACCTCATGAAAGATATTAAACCCTTTTATTATTTCCCAAATCAATGTGACAAATTTATTTCATTAAAATAGTGACATTAAATATCAGATTTTATACAACAGGCATACTTCAATTTAAAACTTGTGCATGGACAACTTTGGCTTATTTTGTTAAAGGAATAGAATGTATGTATCTACTAGGCTCATATACTATTTGTCCAGCTGCATGCCTTTCTGAATAATATTTAAAAATATTACATGAAAATCAACATCACATAAACAGAGAAACACACACATATATCACACTCACACACATAGTGTATACATACACACACAGAACATCAGTTACATTGTACAAATAGCTTAGATTAGAACGTTGTAGCTTAAGTGGGGCAAGATTCTACTAAGTGTAAGCAAATAAAGTATTGGACTCAGATCTCACTTGTCTAGTCCCTGGGCTTGAGTCTAACACCAGTCTTCCCTCTTGCAGCTGCAGGTGCACATTCCATAAACAGAATATCCTCAACTGTTTCCTGACCTCTTCTTTATAACAACATTCTCCAAGAAATTTGAAAGGTTCCTCCCTATTTCTACGTGTTCTAAAAGTTGGAGAATGTTGTTATAAAGACGAGGTCAGGAAACAGTTGATGATATTCTGTTTATGGAATGTGCACCTGCAGCTGCAAGAGGGAAGACTGGTGTTAGACTCAAGCCCAGGGACTAGACAAGTGAGATCTGAGTCCAATACTTTATTTGCTTACACTTAGTAGAATCTTGCCCCACTTAAGCTACAACGTTCTAATCTAAGCTATTAGATACTTCCTGAAAGATTCTAGGCTGAACCACTTCCTTCTTCCCATATGCAGCTCGGGACAGCACTCTTTTTCTGGGAAAGCTCTGAAGAGACATATTCTGAGAAAAGAGATACCAGAAGAATTTACATTAGCAGATCTAATGATATCAATGGCTGCAAAGTGGGCAAGCAATACTAGGAGAGTCACATTTACTCTATCCTGATCTTGTTAGAAGCCATCCACAAGTAAAAATTAACTGGCACTTGACCAGGTAATTCATCTATTGTAGGGCTCTCCAGCTTAAATCCCACAGCTTTCTCAAAAACCTATATTTGTTTTGTAGATGAGAGTTTCTTATATGCACTCCATCATAGCTGAGCTCTGCTACTGAAATTTTCAGTATGCTATGTTATGCCTTTAATGGGTCGGTGTAAATTTGGTTACAGCCATTATCCAAAATAATTTTTATTGGCCCGTGTGTAGTCAGCTTAATGGAAACTACCAGGAAATGGCACAATATATGAGAGAGAGAGAAAAAAAGTTAAATAATCCAAAATCCCATTGTGCTTTTTTGTAAGTTGTTATTGCCATATATATGATGTGAAAATGAGAAGCAAAATCACTATTTTAAAAAAGAAAATTTATTGAATGCCATGTTTTGAGTTATATTGTATAGCAGAATTAGTGAATATTGAATGTGTAGAATTTTTTGTTGTTATTTTAACTGTTTCATGAATTTATTTTTATAATATAGCACCTTTTGTAGAAACCCCATTACAAAAAATGATGAATACACCTAATTTTTAAATTAAAAACATATTTCTACTAAGGAATAATATACTTTGAGAGTTAGGGTTTAAAAAAACTCCACACTTATATTATTTGCAATTGTGTACATATATATATAGAAAGACATGCTCAGTCAACTGTGAATGAAACAAACAAGCCATTACCTAGCGACGGAAAAACTGATTCATTGCCATAACAGACCATACTGATGATTATTCTGAAGTAACTTCTGATTTATTCAAGACTGCTGTGATTATAATCTACAGTTAAACATATCAAGTATTTAAAGTCTAGTTTGCCATCTTATCAGATTTCATTGCACTGCATTGCCCTGCACTGCGTTTAATTTTTATTCTGCTTAGAGACATCAAGATGACAAGCGCAACATACTCCTTCCATTATGAACAGATCTGGGAAGAGTCTAAAAATCATTCTAAGGACTGGAGCCAGAGAATCAGGTTAGTTTTAATAAATATAACAATCAATTAACAATTAAAGTCCCAGAACTAAGTACAAAGTATTTTTCTCTTTTTAAAAATAAATAGAATTGTACATTATTAGGTATTAAAATGTCAGCACTTTTTTAAATTGGATTTTTAGGTTTTGGAAATCTGAATTAGTGAACCATTTCAGTTATTCTTAAACAATACACTTACTATATACAATAAGATATACATGCAGACATATATACATTTTTTGCTAACTTTTCTAAATGCCTTCTCAAAGTTGTCCTGATTTCACTGGCATTTGCTTTCAGTTAATTATGCCTTGGATTCCATTCTGCTTTTGACTACGTAGAAGTAAATTTTAGCTGAGTCCAGGAGGTTATTCTTCTGAGTGGAAATATAAAAGAGTGCACTGTGATTTTGTCATTCTAAATATGAATACCTAAGAATATTTTCTGGAATGTTTTCAGATGTGGAAAAACCTATAAAGAGTCAGAAGGATTACACAACAATAGTCTAATCTGGAAATTCCCCTGGAAGACACAGGGTTTTAATATGCAGTTAAATAAGTATTGATTTCTCATTTAAAGCAAATCCCATTGTTCCTACATAAAAGTAATTTGAAATATCTGTGTATGCATAATAATACCGTTTGTCAATAGATAAGGTGATATTGTACGTACATATATTTATTATATTTATTTCTCTCTGGGTTTTTTCCAGTAATTTTATTACTCAAATATTTATTAGAAAGTTAGTACTGATTAACTTGCATCCTATTCTTTTTATTCAAAAGGGTCTAACATGCAGCATGATATAATATATCTGATGGGCTTTAATAGATGTTAACCTCTTTGTGGAAATACAGACACCTTATATATAGATTTCTTGTTACTGTCCCTTGAATTCTGCATACTTACTTAAAGCCTGAGCCTTTTAGATTCTAGTTTCAAATAAGGTTCTCTTATTCTGCTTATCGGATATTAGCAGTGAGGTGGTATTCAATAAAGGAGGATGTTATTTTGTGGCATAGCATTGTATTCCAAAATTTAAAGAGGGGTAAGCTGCAAAAGAAGCTGTATTGAAATAGATACTTAAAACTTGGATGTACACAATGGGTTAAATTCATAATAAACAGAGGTTGAATAATAGAATAAAAAGATTGAAAATCAAAGAGTGTTTTTTCCTTTAGTAGAGGTGACAATCCTTCTAACAATAATATACTTGGAGAAATTGATCTAATTAATAACTAGCAAAGAGGCAGTGCAGGTTATTTCCTTTTCTAAGTTATTTAGTAAATAAATGATCAGACTCACAGATTGGTGTATATTAATATTCACAAATTATAGATGAAATTTGCTTTCTTTTTCTGACAGAATGGGGATAGCAGATGAGACGCAAAAATATGTATTTCACAAAGAGAAACAAGAGTTCGAAGAGTTGGGTGAGAAGGATGTGTCTGAACTTGACATCTTTCCAGGTGAACTGGAAATGGAGGAAAGTGTACTGGATGCCGCTGACCAGGAAACAGTGATGTGTGAAGAGAACAGCAAAAAAGATTCCTGTTCCAATGCTATTGTCAAGAAAAAAAGAAGGAAAAAGAGGTTAGAAATAACCACTGAAAGCTAATAAAGTCTGGTTTTATTTACTAAAAGGGAAGAAAAATAGTAAGCATTGAGAGACAAAATTGTTGAACTAAATAAATTATATTTTGCTCTGTAAGGTAGGCAATTACTACATTTGATACATAAATAAATCATTATAATCTTCTTTTCAATCTCCAATGTCTCTCAATGTTTCCAAATGATATATCTCAATATATTCTAAATTCCCCCCTTTTTTCATTTTTGCTCTAAAATAAACAGGATGAAAGAAAGCTGCTTGTTCATATGTTAACGGAATGTGTGACCTGTTTGGTTTTGACTTAGTATGATGAATTTTCCTTTATTGAACAAACCTCAGTTGAACATACATAATACCATGTATGAATTGAATCATTATCTTTACAGGACTTCCCTGTGAGATTCTTGGCAATTGAACTTAAGAATTTAACCTAAGTAGAGCTGGGCAGGTTCAGACAAAATGCCTACCTGGACAAACCTTCAGCTAGGTTATAAGCAGAATATGAATACTATAACTTCTCCTGTCACTATGATCTAATACCTACTTTTGATTCTTGAGCCTTTGGTATAGCATAATAACAATTCAGCTTTTTTCAGCATTTTTATAAGTATAACAAATATAGGCTATTCTGTATGTAAGACAGCATTTCTGTTCTGCCGGGGAGTGACAGTTGGCAATCCTGCTGCATACCTTTTCAGGCCAGGCAAGTTTTTATGTCTTTCTGTCCAGTGAAGCATATTGTTTATAGTCTGACCCCTCATTCAAAGCTATGAGACTCTGACACTCATTATTCCTCTTGCGGATTCACAAGCACACTCATTTGAAAGTTAAATACTATGGATGGTAAGGGAACCAAGTGATGCTCTATTTGTGCAAGAATGCAGAATCATAGGACAAAAGACTGAATCGTTTTTAAGAGCAAGACCACCGTTCTCAGTCTTGAAAACATTTAATTAATTATTTTGGTTTTAAACCTCCTGAAAATGCTACACTTACTAAAATACCACAGATTTGTGAGGCCTTTCCTGGAGTACCATACGACATAAAGTGAAAATAAAATATTTATATTTGCATAAAACATGGCAGGATCCATATTCAGATACTGATTTAATGTTTGATTTGTGTTGCCAAATGGAATTTTGGTTATTTCTTCCAAATTCTACTTATGACATATTTTGATTCAGGTTTAAATGATACATTTCTGCTAAAGAATCAGAACAAATTCAGACTACAGTTTATTGTAATTCTCATATCTCCCTGTTGGTTCCCTCCTACAAATATTCTATCTAATCTTTATATTCCTCATCTTTATATTCATAGTCCTCTTCTAAGTACAATTTTAAAAAGCTTAATTATTCATAAATTAGGTGGTACTTAAAACTGATTTGGTAATCATTTTGCATTATACCGTATTTTTCGGACTATAGGATGTTCCGTAGTATAAGGCACACTTAGCTTTTGGGGAGGAAAACTATCAGCTGTTTCAGGCTGCAGGAATTGCCATTGTCTATTGCTGCCTCCTCATTCCCCATTTTCGGCCCATTCCGATTCCCGCATACGGAGGCTGAAAAGAGGGTGCACGGAGGCAGCAGTAGGTAATGGCAATCCCTGCAGCCTGAAACAGCTGGTCAAGGGAAGCCAATCCAACTGACAATCAGTTGCTTGTGCTATCAGGCTGTGCTGAAGCTGATCAGGCTGTTTTCTGAAAGGAGGCAAATTTCTGGGAGGCAGAGGGTGAAGGGGCTTTGGCAACATTCACTGTATTACACGCACAGACATTTCCATCCATTTTTTGGAGGGGGAAGTGCATCTTACACACTGAAAAATACGGTAAGTTGAAATCCAGTAAACCCTTAACCAAAATGGGATTTCACTGAGCTTAGTTTTCTTAGTTCACTTAGTTTTCCACAATAATACTTGATCCACAGTGTTTATGGAGACTCTCAATCATCCAGGTCTATTCTTCACCATTCAGTCAGAACTGAAGAAGCTTCTTGGATGAGAAGTGAAATGTTTTCAAGGAAAAATCCAAGAAAGTCCAGTTGCCTTTTGAAAAGAACCTTTGGGATTTGAGATTCAGGAACCAGAAGGTTCTTAAATACTTTATAGTAAGTTGTGCATTGGTTTTGCCTGTCTGCCTCTGTCTTTCTTCTTCTTTTTATGTTTTCCAGATGACCAGTGATAAATCTGACCAACTGTAAATATGAGAGTGGTAAGTACCCTGTTTCTCCAACAATATGGCCTCCCCCAGTAGGAAGTCCCAGCATGTTTTATAGGCATGAAATGAAATTAAGCCCCTCCCCCCAAATTAAGGCCTATATTAAAACATGCGAAATGGGGGGAATGGTGTGGGGGGCTTGCCATTAGGAAGTACTTTCATTGCACACCCGGATATGGTGCTGCCTGCGTTGACCCCGATACGAAGTGCCCCACCAATGCCGAGGTCAACATCCAAGCCATCGCCGCCCGCCCGAAGATGCAAGGGGGGGAATTAAGTCACCCCCGAAAAGATGGCCTAGCCATTTTTTCGGGGCTCAAAAAAAAATAAGACCCAGCTTTATTATATGAGAAACACGGTATAATCTATAATTATGAGGCTGAATATATTTCTCAGTTGGTTCAGTGAGGAAAAAGCCCACAATTTTTATTAAAAAGCAGCTTCCAAATTAATGAAATTCTGAGGTTTGTTCTAGCTTTTGTTTGAAAAATTTAAAAATATATTTATACTTAACAATTGAAAGTATTGTTTGGAATCTAACATTCATCTTCAGTTTCCACACATTCACCTCATTTTCTTTCTTTCTTATAGTTCCTAAATTTATGTGTTTTCTGAAGCTGTCTCATATTGTCCAATGTAAGACTAGCATTTTAAAGATAAGTGTGTGGAGGAATTCACACAAGTTCACCAACTGGAGTTGGCACAAGTTCATATTAAACCAATAATAATATGGTATATTTTTCCATGAAATTAAAATACATAGTTTAGTTATTGTACTTAAGTTACGATGTACCCTCTGAATAGAACTTGTTCTTCCATTTCTTTTCCCTAATATTTCGATATAAACTGATGTGATTCTGTCTCTTCCTATCACACAGTACGTCGGGCTGCCAAAATGTGTGGACTTCGGGAAGCAATTGAGATGGATGACTGGACCTTGTATTGGACAGATTATTCTGTCTCTCTGGAGCGGGTGATGGAGATGAAAAGTTATCAGGTATTTATTACTATCACCCTGAGATGGAGCTAAACGATCTGTGTTTTTATTTGTAAAAAAAGATGTGAAAGTTTGAATTGTACTGATTATTTACCTTTGATCCCGTTTTTAGAAAATAAATCATTTCCCTGGAATGACAGAAATCTGTAGGAAGGACCTTCTAGCCAGAAATATGAGCAGAATGTTAAAGCTTTTCCCCAAAGAATTCAACTTCTTTCCCAAGACTTGGTGTCTCCCTGCTGAGTGAGTCTTTATAAAATTTACCTCCCATATTTTTTTCTTATTTAGTTTCTCTTTTTCATCATAAAAGTTTAGGACATGAACATGGACATATGCAAATAAATTTGGCCTAAATGTTTTATTAAAAAGTATAGAAGTCTCTTTTAGAATTCAAACCACTCTACTATGAGCCCTAATTATTACTGAAGATTCCATCTCTCCCCTCCCCATGGGTGTGACTTTGAGAAAAAGCCTTCCTAATTGAATATTATCCCATTCTGGATTTCAGTTCCCATAATTTCCTACCAAGATGTCTAACAGTTTTAGGGCTAGCAGTTTGGAATGTTCTTGGGCTACTGTATATTTTTTAAATAACATGTTTTTCCTTTTCATTGATCTCAGCTATGGTGAATTGCAGGCCTTTGGGAGATCAAAAAAACATAAAACTTACATCTGTAAACCAGACTCTGGTTGTCAAGGCAAAGGCATTTTCATCACAAAAACTGTAAGAGATATCAAACCTGGGGAGGATTTGATCTGCCAGCTCTATATCTCAAAGGTGATCCTCTTGTATTGAAACAGGTCTCAGCCGGTCTCCTGGAAGTCCGCAGATTTGCAGGGAAAACAACCAGCTCATAGACTTCAGACTGGGTAAAGCTAAATAAAGGTTTATTCATAAACAACGAATTCCGCATCTGACAAGAATGGAATGAAGCCAATTAAGGTTAGCGCTGGGAGCATCTGCCTCCCAGCGCTGTTTATAGCTGTGCCATGCCCCCACCTAAATATATCTACCTCCTGAGTTCCACTCCATGCTAATCACTCCCCCACTAATCATTCCCTGCTTCTGGCATTTGATCATGGATTAGCATTCACTGCCTCGCCTAACATACCTGTCTATCCCCAGCCCAGCTATCACCCATTACACACACACTCCAGTCAGCAACCATCTTCACAATTGGAAAGGTTATGTCCCAGCTCCTTGGTGATGTCATTAGTGTCTGGGTTATTCTTGGGAGTCTCTCCTCCGCTGTTGTTGTTGCGCTAGCTAGCCGGATGTTGTCTGTCTACAGACTGGGATTCCCCCAGAAGTGCTATGCATTGGCGGGCTCTGAGGTATGTCGCCATGCCCAGAGCCCGACAGGCTGCCCCCTCTACCAGAGATCCACCTGCAAAATGAGAACGAATATTTGAGTTCACAGCCTTAACAGGAACTGTATTGCCCCCTGCCCTTGTAGGATGTTTCAGGTGGAATTGACAGCATAGCCGTGGAGCGTTCACATCTGTGTGGGCAACCCATTAAGCATCTGCGATTGGATATCCTTTCCACCTAATCAGATATTGCAAAGTTCCTCTACGCCTACGGGAATCCAGGATTTCTCCTATTTCATAATGGTCATCCCTTAAGGGGCCAGGTGGTGATTGAGACTGACTTCTCTCTATGTTAGCTGGTTTGAGAAGACTAATATGGAAAACGGAGTGCACCCGCCTGAACCATGATGGTAGCTTTAGTTGTACGGTGACAGGATTGATTATCCAAACTATGGGAAACAGTCTGACGTATTTCGGACCTAATTTCCTACAGAGCAGTCCTAGGTTTAAGTACTTAATAGACAGGTATACAGGTTCCCTGATGTTGAAGACTTTATGATCAGTCCTTTTTGTATCGTCTTGCTTTTTATATGCAGTAAAAGCATCATGTAATGCTTGGTGTACTGTCCTCCAAGTCTCCTTTATTTTTCCAGATCATATAGTAGCTGTTGTGGGTTCTTGTGTTCCCTGTGGCCATTCAGGAATGGGCACAAACTACTCCATGTACAGTAAAAATGGGGTATGTCCTGTGCTGCTATGTACCATATTGTTATACGCTACCTCAGCAAACGGTAGTACCTCGGACCAGTCAGTTTGCTGATAGGAAATGTAGCAGCATAGGTACTGTTCTATAGCTGCATTCGTTCATTCAGCAGCGCCATTTGTGCTTGGATGATAAGCAGAACTCAGTCCCTGTGATGACCCTATCAAACGCACAAATTCACACCAGAACTGGGCAGTAAATTTCACTCCTCGGTTTGATATTATCTGCCTTGGCACTCCATGTAATCTGTAAATATGTTTAATAAAGAGATTAGCCAATTTACGAGCAGATGGCAGACAAGCACAGGATATAAAATGCATCTGTTTTGAAAATAAATCTATTACCATCCAAATGACGGTATATCCATGGCTGTTTAGTAGTTCTACTATGAAGTCCATGGCTATATCCTGCCATGGTCTGTTGGGACTGGAGGCCATTTGTAGCAATCCCAACAGTTTTCCAGGGTGAGACTTGGTGGTAGCACAGATCGGACAGCTCTTCATGTTACGTTCTATATCTGATCTCATTGAAGGTCACCAGAATTGTCTTTTAGCCAGATGTAATGCCTTCAAAAAACCATAATGTCCAGCCTATTTAAAATCCTGGCACCGTTGCAATATGATATCCCTCAAAGTTTCAGGTATATAAAGCTTTCTTCCTTGGCATGCTATGCCATCCTGGATGTCACAGTGGATATGGTTCACTATCAACCATGGGTCATCTTTGATGATAGTTGGTAAGTCGATCGAAATCAGTTTAATTCGTAAGGAGTGTAAGGTCTCTCGTCCTTGAATAATTGGTTGTATTACCACATCTCTTTGGCACTCATATTGAGGTAGACACGATAATGCGCCTGCTAACAAGTTATTTCCTGCTGGTACATATTTTAGGACAAAATTGAACTGTTGGAAATATGCCAAATGCACTTGTTTAGGCAATAATTTCCTTGGTGTCTGAAGGGCCTCTAGGTTTTTATGGTCCGTACATACTTCAAACAGTTGTTGGGCTCCCTCCAGAAAATGCCTCCATGTTAACAAAGCCTGCAAAGTACTGCAAAGGCTTCCTTTTCCTAGATAGCCCAATCCTTCTCAGTTGGACTTGGTTTCCTCGAGGTATAGACACACGGTTGTAATATTCCATTTTGGTTTTTCTGTAAAAGCTCAGCGCCTACCGCTAAGTCACTAGCATCCTCCTGAATCACGAATGGGAATTCCGGATTTGGGTGTTTCAATACTGACTTTTCAGTGAACTTCTGTTTTAGGGATTGGAACGCACATTGACACCTATCTGACCATGTCATGGACTGTCCGGGCCTGGGTTTTGTTGCTTGTATTTGTTTTGTTTTTAACAAGTCAGTTAACGGCAGCACAATAGTAGCAAATGAGGGTATGAACTGTCTAGAAAAGTTGGCAAAACCCAGGAAGCTCTGCAATTGTTTGTGAGTAGTAGGAGCTCGCCAATCCAATACAGCTTGTATTTTACTAGGATCCATCTCTATGCCCTCAGCTGAGATTTGATACTGCAAATAGTCCAATTGGGTGCGATCAAATTCGCATTTTGTAAGTTTTACAAATAACTGAGCTGCTAATAACTTTTTAAGGACTTGTTTCACCAATTGTACATGATGCTCCATTGTATCTGAATATATCAGTATGTCATCAAGGTACACCAATGCATCCCTATACAAATGCTCATGCAGAACCTCGTTTATGAGCTGCATAAAAACTGCTGGGGCTCCCTGCAACCCAAAGAGCATAATTCTAAATTGGTAGTTCCCTAGCAGACAGTTGAATGTCATTTTCCTTTTTTCACCAGCCCTTATCTGTATCATATAATATGATGCATGTAGGCCTAGCTTCCTGAAGATTCGACCTTTTGCTAAAGTAGCTAACAAATCCTTGATGAGTGGTAGTGGATACAGTGGCTCCTTACATACAGTGTTGAGACCCCTAAAATCCATATTTTATACAGCCTTAACCCACCATCCTCTTTTTCTCTAAACAAGACCGGAGCCACTATATGCGCACGTCCTGGTTTGATAAAGCCCCTCACTAAGTTTTTAATCTATATACTTGTACATTTCTTCCATCTACGGTGGAGTCATTGAGTACATGCAGTGTTTAGGTAGTTTAATCCCTGGGATTAATTCGATTGCGCAGTCAGTAGGCCTATGAGATAGTAACTGGTTGCTACCAGTCTCATTAAAAATGTCAGCTAAATTATTGTATATCGTAGGATAAGTGGGGCTAAAATCAGTGGGACTATCAGCCAATAAGCTGTGTACTGCGGTGGCTGATATGGCATCAGCTATATCTTCCTTTGGGGGATCAAGTCCTACTGCCAACCGTATCTTCCTGAAACCCCCTTCCCATCAAATAGTTGGGCCCCATTTATCCAGCCATGTGAGTCCAAGAAGTATAGCCTCTGTCATATGGTCCACAACCACAAAAGAAATCCGCTCTCAGTGATTCCCATATCCATACGCATGGGCTTGGTTTGGTGTATCACTGGTGCCCCACCCAGCATGGACCCATCCACCTGAGTCAAGTTTATGGGAGTAGGTAGGTGTAATAGCTGTAATCCCACTTTCTGCACTTTCTGTGTGGGTTATTGAGCACCATGCACACCCCAAGTCAACCAACGCACCAAGGCCCAACCTTTGATTCGTTGCAATGTTTGTAATTGTGATTGGTATAACAAAAGGGTGAATGGGGCTACTTACCATTAGGTCATCTGTACTACCCTCATCCATTTCATATCCAATTTGAGGTGATTTCTTGGCAGTTGCCATCTCATCTGCCGCCCATTCAAACTCAGTATTGGCGTCTGATTAACCCACCGCTCTGGAGCATTTGGGAGGCTGTCAAGAATGATCACTGGCCCTCACACTCCCAAGACCCAGTTGTGGTTGTTGTCTTGACATACACAAAGGAGGTAGCAGGCACTCTGCTGCCCTATGTCCAGGTTGATCACACCGGTAACATTTAAACAGCCCCCTCCCCTGTTGGGTTTGGCTGAGAGAACACCTAGGCAGGTTTGGCCTACTGGGTAGTCCTCTATGAACTCCGTTTCCCACATCACTCCACACTTTCAATTGACATAATCTGGAGTCCAATTCAATGGCTGCATGGTACCACTCCTGCAACTTTGATGGCAGACCCCGGTATAAATACACTTGGCCCAACTCCCGGTCTAATCCCTCCCTGAACAAATGGACCAACATCCTTTATGGATAAGCATAGTGCCTGCCAGCTACCCTTCTGAACTCTTGCACATATTCCTTCACTGGCCGTCCGCATTGTTGTCGCGCTAGTAAATCATCTTCCACCTGTTGGGCTTGTGGACTATCTTTGAAGCGATGTTACAGAGCGTCCAGAAAGAGGCCCACATCAGCCAATTCTGCTGAGCATACCCTATGGGACCAGCAGCCCATTCTCTGGCCTCATCTGTTAATACCCCCGTTATGGCAACCACCATAGCCCAATGGGATAGATAGAATTTCCCATACAGATCTAGGTGGTTAATAACCTGTCCAAGAAAGACTGCCATACAGTTGGAATTCCCATCAAAGATAGCTTGTAATGGTGGGGGTCTACCTTGTGGTGGACCCCACAACAGCCCAGGCACTGGAGTTCCTGCGGCACACTCTAGAGCAGTGGTAGTCAACCTGGTCCCTACCACCCAATAGTGGGCATTCCAGCTTTCATGGGTGGCAGGGGTTTTGTCCCCTATTTTATAAATCACCATTACTGTGGAACTGGTGGGCAGTTAGAGAAAATTTTACTACTAACAAAGATACAAAAGTGGGTGGTAGGTATAAAAAGGTTGACTACCCCTGCTCTAGAGCTTGTTGGGATCCTGCACTCTTCCATACGGCTCCACTCTTGCATACTCCCAGAATCAGATATTCATCTCCCGGGAAAACCTGTTTGGCCGGGCAGTGCTGTGACAGTGTCATAGAAGCATTTAGGCTGTAAGTCCTGATGTTCCAGGGGCCTGCTCACATCCTGCCCTATGGATCCCACTGGTCTGGAGCTCCATAACAACCCACTTGAGGACCCATAGCTACATCTCCAACTTGGTCCTTCCTTCATATTTCATCCAGAAGGCTCCTGTACCAACACCTCACCAAATTGTGCCCTTAAAATATCTAAGGTGTTACTGCCAGGAACTGTCCAGCCACTGTCATCCAACCCCAGCCATCTCTGTACCTTCCATTCCTTAGCTGAGCCAGGGCTATGAGCACTTTGTTGTGACTTCCAGTCATCCATTCCAACCTCCGCCTGTTCCAATGGCTCGCTTAGCCTTACTGACTTCCTCTCACTGTTGGATGCAGTACATTCAGTGCAGGTCTTTCAGCTTTAGAATCCCCCAGCACCCCCTCCATTTCTTCCATTTTCTCTTCTGCCTCTGCAGTTGGCACAAACTCCAGGTCTGTTCCCTCCGCCATCCTGCATCTTCCCTTGACAGCAAACAATAAAGATAAATGTCAACGCTAATCTTCTCTCAGCCGGTCTCCTGGAAGTCCACAGGTTTGCAGGGAAAACAAATCAACTCATAGACTTCAGACTGGGTAAAGCTGAGTAAACATTTATTCACAAACAATGAACTCCCCATCCAACAAAAATGGAATGAAGCCAATTAAGGTTAGCGCTGGGAGCGTCTGTCTCCCAGCGCTGTTTATAGCTGTGGCCATTCCCCCACCTAAATGCATCTACCTCCTGAGTTCTTCTCCATGCTAATCACTAGTCACCCACTAATCATTACCTGCTTTTGGCATTTGATTGTGGATTAGCATTCCCTGCCTTTCCTATCGTTGCCTCACCTAACGTCCCTGTCTATCCCCGGCCCAGCTATCACCCATTGCACACACCCCTGTCAGCAAGCATCTTCACAATTAGAAAGGCATGTCCTGGCTCCTTAAGCAACGTCATCAGTGTCCGAGTTATTCCTGGGAGTCTCTCTTCCGCTGTTGTCACCTCACGAGGTAGCTGGATGCTGGTTTGTCAGCTGTTGAGCGGTCGTCAGCTGTTCAGCAGCGTATCAGCTCAGTGGCAGCATGGAGAGTCTGGCTACAGACCAGGATTCCCCAGAAGCGCTTCACATTGGCAGTCTCCGAGATACATTGCCATGCCCAGAGCCCAACAGCTCCCTGTATTGCTGTGAGTCTTTCTAGCCATTTTAACCAAAACTGATAGATACTCAAAAGCAGTCTATTTCTGAGAAATAAAATCAGTGTGTCAAAAACCATTGATGATCACTAAATCTTCTCCATACGGGAATTATATGGATTAAAGTGTGAGAACTCCTAAAGAAGCATCTACTGTTGAAATGGGAAGAGCCTCCTGCTGTTTGTGGGAAAGCATCCAGAAATCATGGGAATGTGGGTGAAGAGGTGGGGAAACTTACTGGGATTAGAATGAAGAATGAAAATAGCTAAAGTGAATGGGTTGGGCAACAGGTTGAGAGAAGCCAAATCCTAAAGAAAGTCAGCCATGACATTGATTACAAAGTTCCAATCTAAATTAACTGGAAGATCATTGAAATATGCTGCATTATGAAGTAAATTTAGAGCTTGTTAGAAAATTGATTTTAGATTGAATTCATAATCAAGTATAAGTACCACAGTAGTAGATTACAGACTAGAATAACCACAGTTGAATTTGTATTATTTGATATTTTTGGTGCAAGTCAGTCATGGTTTGAATATGCTTATTTGGAATTGGCTAAAATTTCCCTCTTGCCCCCCACAACTTTGATCACAGAATGAAGAAAGCAGGAGCAACTTTTTTGTAATTGACATCTAACCCTCATTAGCTGCCTGGTTGTTTGACCTGCCAGGGTGATAGCTTTTTTTACACTAACGGCCCTTGGAACTTGAGGAAGTTTTATGAAGAAATTGCAGAATGGGGCAAGGAATTGTTGAGGATGATTTGAGCACGGCATAGACCATGGTATGGCAATGAATATTTGACCTGGAAGAGTGAATACTTGGAGAGATCATAAAGGTGCAATTCAAATATCTGTTGCTGTTACCCATAAAACAAATTTTAATTTAGTGGTCTTCAGTTACAACAAATGGATTTTAATGAAACTATAGTGTAAGAAATTTCGTTTTGACAAAGGCAGATCAACCATGGCAACTTCTCTGGAGCAAGAGTGGGCAACTTTCTGTTTTAACTGAACGTTAAAACAATCTCTGTGGGCATCTAGAAGTCAATTGAAATAAGTGAGTGGAACCCAAGCTAACAATAGCTGATGACTCATTTCTGTTTCTGGCACACTGTTTTTTTCTATCTGGTGTTATTTCTTTTTTTCTCCAAGGCAATAGGCTATTGGGATAGAAATTATATGATACTAGAAGTTGAATGAAATCTTGCAGAAATTAATGGCTACATGTAATATTATAGCTGTGGATTGCCCTCCCTAACTCAGAAGAATGTAGGACCACTCCTATTCAAGTTCTTAAATAACTGGTTGAGGTAGCTCTCTGTTGGGTATGCACTTAAAGCTGATTATATGTGGCATCATTCAAGAAATTTGACTTGATGACTTACAAAGCCTATCTGAATCTATGAATCAATGACAGCCCTCCCCAATTTATTTTGCTATACCTCTAGAAAAAAATTAAAGAACTTTAACCATTATTAGCAGATGGAGATTTTATACTTTAGGAACTCATTGAGAATGGCCATATGTTGTCCTTTTGAGTACATACTTATATGAGTCCCATTACATTAATGAGATTGGTACAATGTATTTTTAGTTATTTCATATAGTACAGAGCTTTTTGGCCTCCATTTATCAAAAAGTATGACTGAATTGATTTTTACTAGATTATAAGCAGTTAGCAAAAACTCAGAAATATGTATATTGTCCAATGTGTGATTTTTCTAGATGAAGCTCTATTTGTAGATATTTACTTGAAAATTAATCTTCTTTTCTCAAGCCATTTATTATTGATGGTTTCAAGTTTGATCTTCGGATTTATGTGTTGGTGACATCGTGTGATCCACTACGAGTATTTGTTTATGAGGAGGGACTTGCACGTTTTGCAACATCTATGTATTCCGATCCATCACAAAGTAATTTGGTGAGTCAAAAGGCTGTATTTTGTTGACATAAATAGTGATACTAAAACATCAATTGATTTCAGTTTGAGCCTGACCACTGTTTTGGGGAGGGATATTTCTCAATATTTCCCCCAAAGTAATTTTTAAATGTCACTAGAACTGAGGAATCTTTACTACTGAATTATACTGATATATTTATCACACTGGTGGATTGACAAGTGTTGGTAACAGTCCCCTTAAATATGAATGAGATATTCCTCTAATTTGAATGAAAGTTGAATCTGCTGATTTCACACACAAAAACATACTGCAAACTATCTTTTTTTTTGTTCATGCTATGTAAAGGCATATCCAAACATGGAAGTGTCACCTTTGTTAAATTGTCAGATGTGGGATGATTGAAACTGCATCTTTCATATGTATGCAGTGCATATGATGAATGTTAAAAAGGAACAAGGCCTGTTCCCATCATTTTGTAAGGAATTGCTTTGCAAATTCGTCTGATTCTGTGGTCCTCCATGTGTCCTCGTCTTCCCCACCTGGAATAGCAAGCACTTTCTTTATTGTCCAATGGAAAGGCATTGAAAACATCTACTATGTTTTCTTTCTCTTACTTGGAAATATTTCTTTTTCTGGTCAAGGTGATTATTATTGTGACAATTAGCGAACGTTTAAGAGCACAGCAAAGCTGCCCTTCAAAACAGCAAATGAACAGTGGGAAAATTACTGCCTTAGTGTGTTTGTTTCATGAGCACAGGAGAAGCCATAGGAGCCAACAATAGGAACAAGTTAGAAATTCCCATCAGTGGGGAGTGTATTTTTGTTGTCTTTGTTTACAACAGCAGCTGAATAGCTAGAAGTCTGCAAAGTCATGGCCACATGCCATGGTATTGGATTAACACAGCCATTGTGTACATAAAGGCCTATAATTTACTTTACATTTTCTGCTTTTGAGCCTAGATAACTATCTCTGTCTCAACTGATTTTTGTAAAAGACCAACACTTGGTAGATTCAATTTGGAAGAAAGAAGCAATGCAAGGGAGAAAGCACTTAACCTTTCTCTGCCTGCACTTCTCCACTTCAAATCACTACCTCCAAATACTTTTATCCCTGCAAGATTCCAGATATTGTTTTTTGTAATAGATATTTTTACAAGGTACAGACTATGGTTACTCCCATAACCAAGGTAAGGCTGTGGAATATATAAATCAGATGTTCCTGTACTATATCTTCCCAAAATCTTTTATTACTGGACAGGTTGCTGGAATGTGGGTTCACCAATATTTGGAGTATTATGCAGAATTAATAAAGCATTTTATCTTTCTTTCTTTATTTTAGTGCAGACCATGGAATAGTAATCAGCCCTTGAACCAGTATATTTTTTTAATATATATTTCTTATTTGTTTTAGATGTGCTCTTGGTTTCTCACAAAAGTGTCTAGGTAGATATGGGTTTCTTTCAGATCTATGGTTATACAAATCTCATGTTGCTTTCTTAAATAATTTATTTTTATCAAGGAATTTAGAACACACACATACACAAAAAGTTTCAGCTTATTGTCTCATACAACAACAAAAAATTTAAATCATTTTTATGTTACTGAAATTGCATTACCAAATAAATTAAGGAAAACTAAGTAAGATAAATATTATTGCACACTTGAAAGAAGATGTAAAGGCCAGACAGTTTAAGCTTCCCACAAAATATGAGTGTTTCACATACTATTCTCTGACCCTCCAATCCTGAGACTAAAACGTAAGGGGGATTAAAATCTCTCTAGCCTAATAACCTGCTTGTTGTTTAATTATTTACAGGACAATGTCTGCATGCACCTGACTAATTATTCAATTAACAAGCACAGCGCTAATTTTGTACGAGATGAAGATTCTGGTAGTAAGAGGTACAAAATGTTTTCCAACATAATCATAGACGTGGGATGCTGGTGGCTTGCTCTCATGAATCTTTACAGCCATTTCAGACTTCTTTAAGAAACAATTCTCCAAATTCAGCTGGCACATGGCTCATTCTCTGTCATTAGGTGATGTAAATCATTTAAAAAGCTCAGATGAGAAACATGGGAATCTGGAGGAGGTGAGAGGAGCATAGATTTATCCCTCCTAAAGGAAGTACGAATGAATTCATTGAAATGGAACTGTTGGGTTGCTGTCCCTTGTTTTATTATTTTTCCCTTTAAATCTTATACAGAATGGTCAGTTTGATCTCATTACTGCCACCTCCATTTTTCTCTCTCCTCCACTTAGGTCACTACCAGAGTTCTTGGATTTTCAGTTGATCGCTTGCAACATTTAGTTTGCTGGCTCCTATTTTTCTGCACTGTTCTATCCACTGCAGCAAAAACTTGGCTTCCTTTGCATAGTTTTCCATAGCATCCTCATGATTTTTCCAGTAAACGAGTCAAGTACGAGCAATACAGTGCTTGCTTCTGCAGTGCAGTGCTGCTGTCCAAAACCAGAATCTGCAGTGTGGCAGATCAATAAACAAGGAAGAACAGAAATTCCAGTAACTCTAATGCCAAGATATTCAACAAGTTATTTGATTCTCACTCAGATTAATAATCAGGCCAGAGAGTAGAAGGAAGATTGTGACTTAGGAAAAAGGGAATGTTAACAGTGAAGCATAAAAGCTTTTAGACCAGAGATATGCAATGTATTTTTAAAGCAATGCCTATTGGATTAGTCTTCATTATACAATAGTGAAGAAGTGTATTAGGAGATCAATTATGCTGGACTTTATATAGTAATAGAAAAAAAAATGTTTCCTGCAATTGTACAAATTGTGAAAGAGAGTAACTGTATGATCCTATAATTCACTATATTGTTCTACCTTTCAAGAGCTGACATTAATAAGCTAAGGGAAAATTAGGAAAAATTCCATGAATAGAAATCCTAAAAGGAAAAACAAGAAGCTTGGGAAAAGCCAAAACAATAATATTAAACAGCAATTAAAATGAGAAATGAGACCACTGTGATTATGTGAAGAACTTTCTGATAAACTAAAGAAAGACACATTTCTAATATCAAATATCAAAAGCAAAATATTAGAAAATAGCATAAATCTGTGAGAATGGAATGAGGAAGATCAAAATTCAGAATGAGCTGAGATTTTCAGTGAATTCCAAAAATAACAACATCAGGATTATTTGGGTATTTGTAGAATGAAAGAAAAGTACAAGAAATGGCCCAGTTGTTGGAGAAGTTCACAAAATGGATCTTAATTGATATTTTGCACCTGTCTTTTCACAAAACAAAAAAGCCACATCTCAAAAGTGGCAGAAGAGAAATGCAGGCAAAACATCTAGCTGATTTGTTGAATTCAGGTTGCAGGATCAATGCATTACATTCCAGCATACTAAGGGAACTGATAGATAAAATCTCAGAACTATTCATTATAGTCTTTTAACTAGAATAGTAAAAGATAATATCAACTAAAAAGAAAATAGAGAAAATAAAAGATGCAAGAAAGCTAAAAGAAGAGGAAAAAAGAAAGGAAAAAACACAAGAAAACTTTGTATCTTTATCGTATATAACCAGTTTCACTATCTCTTCACCACCTCTTAATTAACTCTTCATTAATAGCTCAACTATTAACTATAGACAAGTCAAATAAGCAACATCTTTTGCAAGCTGTCAACAAATGTCAAAACAAAGCCCTAAAATAATATTAGACTCCCCATTCCATATTTCAGTTCTTAACTGTAAGCAAGTTCAGTATATAATGCCTTACCAGTCCAGATGTCAGCAAACCCAGAAAGAAATTCTTGTTCATATTGTTTTCCAAAACAGTCATCTCAGATAATTTTTTTGTTCCATATCCTTTTCTGTAACAGTTTTTTCTGGGAACAGACTGTTCATAAGAACACAGCTGACATTGATTCAAGATGACAATGCCATTCTTCAAAAATATCTCTGAACATCATTATAAGTATTAATATGTCTCTAATATCGAAACAGTCTTCCATGAAAATGCATTTATTCTTTAAGATTAATTTCAAAATCTTAATATTCCAAATAAAATATTCCAACATTTTCTGAGCTCTTAATCCATTTAAAGATTTCTGTAAGCTTTCTTGGCAGCAGCTTTTTGCAGTCATTTTCTGCCATTTTCCCCCCAGATGTCTGACTCGCTATATAATCATTTAGAATTCTTGAAGCATAGGGGAAGTTCCATAAGGATAAAGAAGAACTAATGTCACTCCAATATGTTTTTAAAGAAGAAAAAATGGACCCAGATAACAGACCAATCAGCTTGACATCAATACTTGGAAAAATCATAGAAAAGATAATCAAGCAGTGGGTTTGCAAGTACTTAGGAAAGAAAAAGATGATTACTGGATGCCAGTATAGGCTTATTACAAATAGATTGTGCCAGAGAATCTTACTGCTTTTTGCAAAGAAATTAGACTGCTATGGGAATGTACTGGATGTAGTGTACCTAGGCTTCAGAATGACTTCTGATAAATTTGATCATAGCCGCCTTGATTATTTATTTATTTATTTGTGTCAGAAGCATCATTTTAAGGTTTTATGCATAGGTATAAATACAGACATAAAATATTTAAAACATATAAAATCCTAATTTTGGTATGCTTGCCTAGAAGCATGCAACATCGATTGCATTTTGTTGCATGGTCATAAGGTTCTCAGGAGTACATTGGGCTGTGCACAGAGGGGAAGTTTACATGTGTGTGATACTGTAGGTCTCTGTATTCTCACTGGGCAAAAGCCACCAAGTATCCCCATTTATTCAAGACACTGATTTTGCTGTACCTGTAACAGTCTATTTAGCAGTTCCCAAACTTGCCACTTTGAAAGATGATAGCATCTTCCATCCACAGCATCCTGTCACAGAGAAAGAATCTGGATTCATTCTCTGTAGTACTTGAGAGTTGGGCAAGAACTAATGGGTAGAAGCTTTACAGAGAGAAAGTCAAACTCAAAGAGAACTTTCCAAAGAGACTACAAGGATTATTAAACAATAGAGCAGCCTGCTTCATACAGGTTGCATTGCTAGAAATTTTCAAAACAAAGATTTTGTAGGTACTGTTTGAGATGCTTTAAAGATTCCTGCCCTGAGAAGGAAATTGGATTAAAAACCTCCAAGGTCCCTTCTGACTCTATGATTGTATGCTCTGTCTCATCCATCTAGTTTGTAATTTCCCCTGTGAGATTGTTTTATATGCAGACTAGTCCTGAAGTTACACGTTGCTCTAAGGTAGTGTATAATATAGATTCAGCCAATTATGGGTTATTCAGGAAATCACAGATAACACAAAAAGTAAATCAAGTAATTTCTACAGTAAGTGTTCATTTATATTAGTTACTATAAGAGCTACACTATGGATTGCTTATTTATTTATTTAATTTATATTGCCACCTATTCTAATCTAGATTCATGTATTTGAAATAAAAAGGTTGTGTATGCATTAAGAAAATACATTTAATTTGAAGCTAATTAAAAAGTGGAAGAGAAAAGTTAATTGCACAAATATGTTGTGTTCTATTCTTATTTCACCATTTTCCTTTTTTTAGGAAGCTGTCTACCTTTAATAAGTACATGGAGCAAAATGGTTATGATACAGGAAAAATATGGAAGGATATTGAAGATGTTGTTATTAAAACATTGATATCAGCTCATCCCGTCCTGAAGCATAATTATCTCACTTGCTTTCCCAACCACATCATGTGGAGTGCTTGTTTTGAGATCCTGGGATTTGATATCTTGCTGGATCGAAAACTCAAACCATGGTTGCTTGAGGTATGTACTTTCTTTGAAAAGAAATACTAGATCTCTGGCTGCTTCCACAGAAATCTTTTATTACTCAATTGCCTTTCTTGTTCATGGAATTAAAACATTTTTGCAGCTCTCTATTTTCCCAACCACTTCTACTTAATATTTCTTATTGTGAACTCTGCTGTCTTTTCCAATTTGTAGCTCCAAAAACTATCCACTGGAAGGATTCTTGAATTCAGAATGTCTATCCCTCTTTCTCTCATTTCGAGTTAAGACAACTTCTACTCTCAGGTGTTTTTCTCAAGCTCTACTCTAAATTCTTCCTTTTCTGCCTCTATGTTTCAACAATGGGTGCCTTGTGGCAATACTTCCAATCACACGGATTACCAGCAGAGGGCATTAGACAATTGAGAATGTTGCTTTGAAATTAAACAACAATCTTACCTTTGGGAATTACCTGTTGGGAAGACTCAATCGATTGTATAAAAAAATCTGCTAGAAGAATTAGAACAATAATTTTTCTAGCTAACTACCTTTTTTTTCCCTCGTAGTGTAACCAGTCACATTCTATTCCAGTCTTGAGGATGATCGTTAATAATTATTTTAATGCTCTATACCAGATAATTTGGGAAGAAAATTATCACTTAAAATATAAGTTATCCTCTTAGTTGTTTGGATCTGTTCAAAAGTCCAACAGTGGGATTTTCTGAGACTGATTAAACTTTGTGCACTGAAATATTTCTCTTTAGTTTGAACCTATTGCTTATGAATGTCAGTAATGTAATACATATTTCCTGTGTTTTATATATTTAGCTTAACCCTAACCCTAACCCTTTCACAGTAGGAATTGTTATGATATCAGTATTAGAAAGAAATAAAGGCAAGAAAATAATACTATCTATTACACGTGCAAATTTATATAATTATATTGTTAATATTTATAATAAATAACATTGTGCCAAGACTGAGATCAATATCAATATTTTACATCAGGAATTCAAATATAAATTACTATTATCTAATAGCCTTTCTAAACATGTAAATATTTTATTTAGGTTCTGTTTCCAGGTTTTTATATTAAAATTGTATTATCCTATACCAATATAAAAATGTAACTGTAAAAATGATCTACTGGTGTAACTGTCATAAAAGTCCCAGCAAAAGCTGTTACATTTTCAGCTCAAAATTTTCCAGTATTGGTTTAATTTTCTTCATAATAAGCAAAGGTTATAGAGAAAGATCCTACAACTCCCGTTTTGGAAGACAAAGGGAGATGAGCATGTAATAAGTAAACTCAATGCTTGAGAATTTTTTTAATTAATATTTGAATCTGTATATGCTCAAATATACAATTTGATTATCATAGATGATAACTGCAAACTCTTGGAAAGTATCATGACCCAGTTGCTGTCATCAATTCTGGAAGCTTTTCTTTCTCCTGTTCTCCCCCAAACACTTCCTTTTTTATTGCAAAACTGCAGCAGTTACAAATACATTTAATTTCTGTGGTTGTAGGTGAATCATTCTCCAAGCTTCAGTACGGATTCATGGCTGGATAAAGAAGTAAAAGACCAACTATTATATGACACACTGATATTGATCAACCTAGGAGCATGTGATAAGCGCAAAATCTTGGAAGTAGAGAAACGGCGAGGAAAAGAAAGGCTTCTCAAGCAGTGTCGTAATCGTGAAGCCAGGTTTGAAACTTTTTATCCACTTTCTGGGACAGTGTCAATGAACATTTATAATCCACTTGCAAAGCATCACTAAATAGTATCAATTTCCGCCATTGTAGCTTTCAGAATTTGAAATTACTGTATTTACATACAGTTTTCAATTTAATTGATAGCCCCTGTTAAACAGATACTATATATCTTTTAAAATAAAATATAAAATAACATAAAAATAAAATAAAAAATAGGACCAGAATTGGGTGTTACATAATTGATGCCAAAAAGCAAGCTCCTCTGGTCATATCTGTAATGTCTCATACATATTAGATAATACTTTGTGACAACACATTATGGATTTCTTCATTAACCTCAGTATTGCTAGTGGTTATTCTGGTTTTTTTGAGGGGGGACAGTTTTTTGGTTTTAGTTGTGTATACAATATTCTGGTCAGCATGAATTAACAAGATGATTGTTGTAGCATCAGATAAGATGGAGGGGAATCTAAAGCAAGTTATTTTAGTTTGTTTAAAGAATAAATATAAAAAGAAATTTATTCATGTATGTTTGGGAAGAATAGCCAGGCAGGCCATAGTTGTTGCTATGCTTCAATTTTATATGAGGTTATAAAATGTATGGGTATTATTAAAAAATAAATTACACATTGCAACTAAAAATATTAATAATTAAAAATCAAGCAACAACCCAGCCTTTTTCTACTGCATTGGAATATGAATAAGTAGGCAGAAATTTATTTATTTATTTATCCTTTAGCCATTGAGACATAAAAGTTTACAAACATTGCCCTTTTTTGTGCCTATCGTGTTTTTGGGTTTTTTTGGAGGAATTCAAGGGAGTTTTGCAGTACACATAAAATTAGAAGTATAGTCTCTATAGCAGCAGCTTCAGTGTGGCCCTTTGATCCCCTGGAAAACATCCCTCCTAACTGACCTTTTAATGTGGCAGAAGAACATGATTAAGTATGTGGAAAATAATTATGTTAATCATACCAAATCAAATTAAAATTAAATTGTACTTAATTTTATTCTGGCCCCACCTTTCTCTAGGCATGCTTCCCCTTAGTTTGCTACTCTGTGCTCTGGTGCACCTGAGAAGTGGAATGTTCTACTTTATAACAGTGGAGCAAAACTGGAGGAAACTCACCATTTCTGTAAGGTTTGCAGAATTCTGCAGGGTTCAAAGTAGCCCAAAACTAGTTTGTATAGAACTGTGCATCCTGGAAATCCTCTTATTTACATATTATTTTAATATATAAAAAAGAAAGAAAAAGAAGAGAGAGAAAAAAACACAAAAAAGCAGATAAAAAAGGACAGAACAAATATATACATATATAAAATCATTCAATGTAATTTTTAAATACATAATGAAACCTTGATCAACATGATTTTGGTCTTTTCATTATAATGATAAAGAGGCAGTTCGTAAAGAAAAATGGATATTGGTAGTCCAGGTTTTAGCATTGAAAATAATAACTTTTGAAAAGTAACATTTTTTGCTACCTTATGCCACAATTTTTCATGTAATCATAAATTACAACTTTTTGGACTTAATTCAGAAGTGTATTTACCCAGTTAAACTTTTGATTATTGCACAGCTACAGATAATTTTTAAATAGAACAGCAGTAGTGTAACAAGCTTTTATCATAACAGAAAGTGATCCCCGCTCTTTTTACACTTCTAAAATAGTAGACATGTTTAAATGTTCTAAGTTATTCAGTAAATGTGAAAAATATTTTTTATTGCATTAATCTTATTTTAAGATTTTAATAAATATATTCACTATTTTAGCCATTGATTTCTTAATATGGGATATTTCAAAGCCCTTAGGCTTAGAAGTAGTAATATTCATCTTAATGATGCTTAATGATTTAAACTATACACTTAAAACCATCCAAAGGACATTCCCAAATTAATATCAAATTTGGAATTTAAAAAATTGTGATAATGTATTTCAGATGCTATCAATGCATCTGGGCCAATTATGATATTAGCAAACAATTTAACAGAAGAAATTGAACTGCAGATACATCTTTACTGATAAAGCTAAAAAACTAAGGAGTTACACACACATCCCCATTACATGGCAGCCATAATTCCATAAAGAAAATTTGGCAGTTTCCTTTCCATGAATTCTTAAGACGTAGTTTCTTATCAATCATGTATATTTAATTATTTTTGCACAATCAAATATACATTTTCATTATTATTTTTCTTAGTGATAAACTTACATATTTATCTGGCATGCACATAAAATATGTTTGAGTCCTGTTGGGGCTTCTGTTTTACTAAAAAAGAAAAGATAAAAAATTTATTTTTTAAAGGCCTCCTTTAAGTTTAAAAAGAAAAATGGAAGCAGTTGTGTAAATTTCTGCCACAGACCCACAGCATTTAATTTTCCTTTCACCCATGCTACCTTTTGTATCTTGCTAAATTATGCCTTTCCTGGCCTTGTTTTCCCCTGGAAGAGAAAAGGTGGAGAGGGTGAGGCTAACTATCCACCTCTGCAACGGATAAATTTCTGTCTAGTAAGGAAAAGCAAAAAGATCAGGAGACGATATTTTGCACTATATTTACGTGCTCAAAAGCTAAGTAAAAAAGTTCTACTCCAGCATGCATAGATCTAACTGAATATTGAAATGGAAATGGAAATTGAAATGGAAAAAACTCCCACTCTGAAGTTTTAACAGGTTTTTTGGGGGGTGGTTTTGTTAGAGCCGAGGAATTCAAGAACTGCCAGGCTGTGTGGCTTCAACAAGCAAAGATTTATGAAGAAAACAACCTAGGAGGTTATCGTCGAATATATCCCAGTTCTGATTCTGTCAGATATGATAAGTTTTTCCAACAGAATAGTTCGCTTTTCCAGGAAACAGCAGCTTCTAGAGCTCGTGAAGAGTATGCAAGGTAAGAAAGAACATTTTTTAATGTAGTAGTTTTATAAAAAATTACAATTACAAAAAAAAGAGAAATGAATGCAAACTAAAAAGAATAAAAAGAAAGTTCAGAAAAGAATAAAATAGAAAGAAAATTGGAAATAAAAAGAAAAATAAGAATATTGTAAAGAAAAATATATATACTGAAATGACTTCCTCCTTCATCACAACAAACATAAAAAAATTAATAACTTAAAATACAACAAATGATTCTTCCCGTACCCCATCTCTTATCTATAAATGAACCATTAAAATCTCATTGTTGAATTATGATCCGCGAAACTCTGTTAAGTATTAGCAAAGAGAACAACATGCCTATTTTAACTGTGATCATGTAAATCAACTTTATGTTCTTTTATTTTACTTTGGATAATCTTGATCTTTAGTCACTTCAAATAATGACTTTGAACTTGATTTGTTTACATTTTTTCTTTTCTTTTCCTTCTAACAAAATTCTTCAAATTTTAACAAATCTTATTTGTAAACTCAGTATGGAAAAATATCCAAATCACTGTTTTGGTTTGTATTTTGTATATTCCTTATAGTATTTAGCCAGTTTCATTTGAATGCCCAGTCTCATGTTTTTGCATATCATTCTAAACCATGTTATCTAGTATCTTGTCAAAAGCAGTATTAGAGCTGTTTTTGCTTTTCCTGGGTTTTATCTTCTCCTACACAACTTTGTGAAGGAGAGGGGGAAAAAAAAGAACTCTGCAGTTAAGAAGTTAGCACGAGTGCCTCTTGGTGTAGAAGTGATTCTATGTAAGTTGTTCTCTATCCCTCCCACCCACCCTCCCCTCTCATTCCCTCCCTCCCTCTTGGACTCTTGGCAATCAACCTATGAAGAAATAGAGCATCTTCCTCCTCTTTACACATACTCTCCTGCTGGGTAGTGTTATAGAGGACAGAAAACAGGTTAATGAAGGAGAAATCTCCGATTCTAAGAACACTTGTAAACTTCAAAACGCCATTGCTTTTAGCTAATCACATTACAGTTGATTGCCTCATTACATTTTTCACTGTCCCCTTAAATACTTAAAATTATTTTAATCCTGGTTTTCAGGATAGCAATCATAAAATGTCTTTACAGAAAGCCAGTTTGGTATAATGGTTAAAGCATCAGGCTAGAAACTGGAAGAATATGAGTTCTGGTCCTAGCATAGACATGCACCAAGGCTTAGGTGATCTTGGGCTAGTCATTTTCTCTCAGGCCTAGGAAGGAGGCAATGACTTCTGAAAAACCTTATCAAGAACACCAGAGGGAACTTATTCATACAATCTCCAGGAAGTGACATAATTAGATGGGGAAAAACATCTTACAAGCGATTTAAATAAATGAAAATGAAAATTCATAGCAGATAGCAGGACTGTTGGTAGCTATGGACCAGATAGCAAGGGAGGAAGAGTCCAACTGAACTGACCATCTCCTCTCTCTCTTCAGAGATGCCCATTGGGCAGTAGGCAGTAATGAACTGAAAAAAGAAAAAGGACATCTTTAACTAATACAATCATATTTGCTTATCTTCTTTCTTCTCATATTTTGTATACTAGACCAGAATGAGAATTATGTATAAAAGCAACAAACATAATAATATCTATCAACTGAATCATGTTTTGATTTATTATTGATATTGAGGGGGTACTGTGGCTCAGCAGTTAAAGATATTGAGCTTGTTAGCTAGAAACAAGAAAGTGTTCAAGACCCAAGCATTGGATGATGGGGTTCTTACTCCAGCTCCTGCCAATTTAGCAATTTGAAAGCATGCAAATGCAAGTAGATAAATTGGTACCATTTTGGTGGGAACACAACAGCATTCCATGTACCAAGGCATATACTAATTCTGGCCACATGACCATGGAAGCATCTTCAGACATTTCCTGACTTAGCTAAGAAACGGAGATGAACACTGCCACCTAGAATTGGATACGCCTGGACAAGGGAAACTTTTAACTTTACCTATTATTGAAATTAGATTTCCCCCACATTATTTATAGCTATATAAATTAAGATGGCTGAGATACCTAATATTCCTGTCTCCTGTTATCTCATTAACAACAACCCTGTGAGATGTCATGAGAAAAAGTGACTAGCCCAAAGCCAACCCAGCTGGTTTTCATGCTTAAGCTAGGATTAGAATTCACATTCTTCTGCATTCTAGGCCAGCACTTTCATCATTCCACACCAAACTGGTCTCTTAGTGCCTGTCAAATATATCATGCACTAAACAAAAATCACAACTGCAAACTGATTCTGTTTTAGTTGCCTTCCAGTTTTTACCATTATGTCTTCCAAAGCAAGGTATATAGTTACTGCTCTGCAAATGTTTTCTCTTGCTGTATAAAACTTGATTATTAAAGGACAACATATTGCACATGTACTTTATTCACTATACCTGAGATGTTAAAAATCAAACTAAGTGAGCTTGAATGCTACTTCAAGTTAAAGTCACAGATCCATTTGCCTTCTTGCCCATCATTCTAACTTTGCCTGATTATTTTACAATGAAATCATTTATAGTACCCTGGCATTACCTAATTTGTTGCAAAATATTTGTAAATATTTATCCAACATTGCATTAATAAAGGAAATCTGCTGATCTCAGACAATAGGCTTGGTGTGTCCTTCCTTACCCTGATTCTGAACACCATGGCATCTTTTGGATGTATGAAAAACCACCAATACAGAAATTAATTATCATACATCGACAGTCAACAGTATTTGGCATTGAGCCTTTCTTCCTACTGTAATTGTTATATAACTTTTTGGCGCATTGATATAAATAGGCATCAGCTGCAGGAACTGCGTTTGAAACAAGAACAGAAAATAACATTGAAAGAAAAGAAGACCGAATTCCCAGGAGAGTCCAGTGGAGAAAAAACAAAGATTCCTAGGCCAAAGATGGTAAATAGATCAACTATATTGCCAGTCTCTGTCCAGGTATGAATGATAGAGAAACATTTTAGCTGATTGATTATTTATTTATTTATTTAGCACAGGAACCGCTGGTAAGTGAGAAAGTGAAAAGGCTTTAATTCTGTGATTTAATTTTTAATAAACCAATTTTCTTCTTCAGTGATCAAGCCAGTATCTATGAAGGTGGCTATGGTAATGGCAGCAGTGGCATATAGACCAATACTATATCTTATGCTCTGCATAGTGACATTTATTATTTCTTATCTATTGTATTCTGTCTTTTCTTTGGAAGTAGAGGGTACATGTGTTTGGTCTAAGGCCTCTTCATAACTTCCGTGACATTCCTCTTCATCTTCACCATGAGTCATGTGTTCTTCATTTTTATCATAAGAGATAATTACTTCATTTGTCAGTATTGAAATGTCTTGAATACTCTGCTTATGTTTAGCGAGCCTTTGTCTCTTATCATCTTGTTGCTTTTGCCTTTTGCCTAGTTATTTTTGCTTGGGAATATTTGGCAAATCAATCTGGTACAATCCAAAAGAACCAATTTTATCTCTCTGGCTTTTAACAAAAGCAAGTTTCTTCAACAGCATCTTCCTCTCCTTAGGACAGGTACAATTAATATGAGCTTTTTTGCAGCCAAACATGGCACACAGAACAAAATGATAGAAAGTATGCAAAAATGAGTCCAGCAAACGCATATTCATTCATACAATAAATGCCATTGCAAAAACCAATCCCAACTACAAAAAACTTCACTCAAGATCAGACTTATCCATACTGCAAAGAATCCACTCCCATGAACTCCGCACAGAACTCAAAAACCGTCTAGACAATGGAGAAAAGGACCTATACATTGACTACAGAACTGATTGCAACAAAAGAAAGTCACACAACCCACAACTCCGCATCCAACCCCACCCCATCCAATCCAACATCACTCAAAACTAGGCATACACGCCCCTAACTAAATCTCTATTCCAACCACAACTGGCCTTAAATGCAAGCTACTCAATGCAGGAAGCCTTGTAAATAAAATATCTGAATTTCTCCTCTTACTAAATACGGCTAATTTCAACATTATATTTATCTGTGAAACATGGCTCAATGCATCTCTCCCTGACTCCATTACCACAGTAAGGGACTATCATGTTTACCGATCAGATCATGAAATCTGTAGAGGAGGTGGTGTTGCTATCTTCTATAAAAAGTCCCTACATCTAAAAAACATCCAAGTTACCCAGGAGCTTACTATTCCTGAGACAATCGTCTGTGAACTGTCCTTAAATATCACATTTTGGTTCTTACTATGTTACAGAGCTCTGATTATGACATCGAACATGCAGACAAGCTAAATACACTACTAACATGGGCAGCATCCTGTTCACATGCTTTTATCTTTCTTGGTGACTTCAATCTACCTCATATTAACGGGACCCTTAACGAATGTACAACTGAACCCACACATGCAACCTTCTACAATGGAATAACAAATCTGGGATGAGAACAACTAATAACCAACAACAGTAGTCTTAACAGCTGCCTCGATCTCATCTTCTGCAATAGTTTGAATTCAATTTACAGAATACAAATTAAAGAACCCTTTTCCCACAGTGACCACAACATGATTGACTTTTGTCTCAACGTACGTCCACACAAAAATCATCACAACGACGGAATCCCCAGTTATAACTTCAAGAAAGGCAACTGTGATCTTATAAACCAAGGGTCACCAACCTTTTGGATCTCAGGGACCACCAAATTCATACTTTTAAATCCCGAGGACCACTAATATGATTTTTTTAAAAAAGCTAATATATTTATTATATTTTTTATGTTAATGTTACACATGTATGTATGTATGTATATAAGTATGGTATTCAGCTTTGTTTGGGTATTTTCCCACGTCATTGTAGTTGTGCTTTTAAAGTTGTAGCAACATTTCGGCAGAATCTCATTTGCCATCATCAGGCTTCTGTATTCACAATACAGAAGCCTGATGATGGCAGATGAGATTCTGCCGAAATGTTGCTACAACTTTAAACATACATATACACACACACACACACACATACATACATCATACACAAAAACACACATACACACTTACTTATTTAATTATAACAAAAATGTAAATGCTTAATGATAACAAAATAAAATGTTCTGGACTGGAAGCCTCCCCCCACCTGGCACCTTCCAAAGAGACAGAAGAGCAGGCGGTGTGTGTGTGTGTGTGTGTGCGTGTGTGTGTGTCTGAGCTGAGGGGCCTTGAGGCAACTGCTGCTGGGAGAAGCAGAGGGAGAAAGGGGGCTTTGCTCTCCCTGGGGGACAGCGCCCCTTGGCTGACACTCCAGGGGCTTCTCAGCAGGTATCTGCCTGCAGAAGGACTGACGCTCTTGGTGATTAATTGGGGGAGGGGAGGGGGAGAAAGTGGGAGCTCCTTTCAGATCCTGGGTGGAGTATTGAGAGGCTCAGATCTGCAGCCGAGGAAAAGCTGGGGGACTCTTCCAGCCTCACCTGGAGACAGGCAAGGAAAGGTGTCCCTAGGGGCACTTCGCTGGCTTTAGCACTTCACTGCCAAACCCAGCCACAGCCAGTGATTATTTGAAAGCATCTCTTGCATTACCAGGGAAGGAAAGGAGATGAAACAAAGCTCACACTTTCACTGAGACCTACAAAACGGCAATCTACCGTGTTCCAGGAGTTCTTCAAAATCATCAAACGCTCCTACTTGCAGTTCTCGCGCCTCCTGGCTCAGGTCCCTGAGATGCACGTTCCCACACACGGCGGCGGTGGCGGCAACAACAGTCCCCTCCCCCAGTGCCTATCGTCAGCTCTTCCCATTAGTTTTCTAGCCTTGAATTGCTCCCGGCTCTCTCTCTTTCCTCCCCCCCACCCACGTGCAGGCAGGAAAGGGAGACGGAGCCTTGCACAGCTCTGTTCTTTTCCAGCCCTTGCTGCCTCTCCCAACATCGAAGCCTCGGAAACGCAGGCAAAGCCGCCACAGCGGTAGCGCCCTGAGTTGCTTGCTTCTCCACTACTGCCTCCTCCTCCAGCACCACTTCCTTCTCTGGGCAGGGCATTTCTTAACTAACCGAGCATGCTAAGGCAACTCAGGACGCTGAAACAAGATTGCGGCACCCAAGCAAACATTCTTTGTGGCCCGGTACAAAACGATCCACGGACCAGTACCGGTCCGGGGCCCGGTGGTTGGGGACCACTGTTATAAACAACGATCTCTCATCCCTTGATTGGCAATTTCTATTCTCTGGATGCAATACTGTTGAAGACCATTACAACATATTTTTACTTGAAGTCAAAAGAGTTATCAAACTATATGTACCATTAACAACTCCCAAAACCAGAAAAAACAAATTACCCAAAACAATAAGGAAGCTTCAAAACAAAAAGAAATCACTTTGGTGGAAAAACAAATCTGGTCACGTTGCCAACCTCAAAAGCCTATACAAAAATTTATGCCACCAGATAAAAACTGAATGCACCAATTATCACAATAAACAAGAAGAAAACCTTCTATGCACCAATTCCACCCGCGCTTTCTACAATTTTGTAAGCAACAAACTAAAAGACTCAAGGTCCATCCCACCCCTGAAAGGACCTAATGGTAAAGACTGCAACAACGATACTATTAAAACCAACCTCTTTAACACATTCTTTGGCTCAGTATTTGTAAACAGCAAGGGATCATGCCCAGTATTTCCTAGTCAAACCACAGGCAACTACAATGATCTAATACATATCGATTTTACAGAAGACAATGTTGAAAAAGCACTACGCAATCTAAAACCATCTCTGTCTATTGGACCGGACTATATGCCTACTTCTTAAAAAAGCTACCCACTGCCATAGCTGAATCTCTAAGCATAATCTTTGAAAAATCTTTCAGGACCAGGTCCTTGCCAAAACTATGGTCACAAACCATGGTCATCCCCATCTTCAAAAAGGGAGGCCTCAGCCTAGTTGAAAATTACAGAACAATCTCTTTATGCTGCATCACCTGTAAAGTCATGGAATCAATTATTAACCAATCCATCGTCCTCCACTAAGAAACAAACAACCTACTCTCTAATAAACAATTTGGTTTTAGGAAAAAACTATCATGTAATCTGCAACTCTTACACTGCAGAAACATATGGACTACACAACTTGATCAGGGCAAAGTAATAGACACAATCTACGTAGACTTCTGTAAAGCCTTTGATTCAGTGGTACACGACAAACTACTCCTAAAGCTAAAATCTTACGGTATCTCTGGACACCTGCATAACTAGATAGAAGCATACCTCTCAAACAGACAACAAATGGTCAAAATTGGGAGTGTCCTATCAAATTCTGCACCTGTCAACAGTGGTGTCCCCCAAGGCAGTGTTCTAGGGCCAACTCTATTCGTACCCTACATAAATGACTTCTGTGATCATATCAAGAGCAACTGTATTCTCTTTGCTGATGATGTAAAGCTATTCAACACCACAGACAATACTGCTACCCTTCAAAAAGACCTTGACTATGTATCAGAATGGTCAAACAAATGGCAACTTCAAATCTCAACAAATAAATGCTCTATCCTATATATTGGCAAAAAAAAAAAATCAGAAAATAAAATACAGGCTGAATAGTCAAGACCTTGTTGATCATCCAAACTCTGTCAAGGATCTTGGAGTACTCATCTCAAATGACCTAAGTGCTAGAGCCCACTGTAACTACATAGCCAAAAAGGCATTAAGAGTTGTTAACTTAATCTTATGTAGCTTTTTCTCTGGTTATGTTACACTAATAACTAGAGCATACAAAACATTTGCTAAACCAATACTTGAATACAGCTCATCAGTCCGGAACCCACATTACATATCTGATATTAACACAGTTGAGAAAGTCCAGAATATTTCACAGGAAGAGTTCTCCATTCCTCTACTTGTTGCAGAATACCTTATGCCACCAGACTCAAAATTCTAGACCTAGAAAACCTAGAACTATGCCGCCTTCGGTCCGATCTA